GTCCTGACTCTTACAGGGCAGTTTGGGAGGATCAAATGAGATAGCAAAGGGCTTCAAAAAGCACAAAGCATTATATAATTATAAGGGGTTATTATTATTACTATTAGAGAGAGAGATAGTTTTGACATTATGAATTAATTTGAAATCAGGAAGATCTGGGTTCAGATCTCGTGTCTGTCTGACACAATCTGTGTGACCGTGGACAAGTCACTTAATTTCTCAGGGCCCCAGACAACTGCCTAAGGTTAAATTACAGAGTGGCTGGTCTGCAACCTTGGAGAGGCATTCGTACACTGAGGTCCAGATTTGAGAAAATATTTATTGCCCCCATTGCTTTGATACTTCAAGGCATCTGTGATCTCACCGGTATGAGTATTCCCTTCCCTATGGTACAGGTCCTCATCACCTCATGCCTGGACTTTTGCTATAGCCTACTGGTTGGTCTCCTTGTTTCCTGTTTCTACTCACTCCTGTCCATCTAATCTTTTTAAAGAGCAAGTCAGACCATATTAATATTCAATAAACTCCAGTGACTCCCTATCACGTTCAGGATTAAATGTAACATCCTTTGTTTAGCATTCAAAGTCCCCTATAACATGACTATCCCCCTACCTTTACCTTTCCAGTCTTCTTTTCCCCTCTGCCCCCCCCATCCAGTGACAACAGACTCCCCGCTTCTCCTTTTACCAAGTCACTCCATTTCCTGACTCCAGGATTTTCACTCCTCATCTCCTCTTCCTGTCTTCTGCCAAGTCTTAGCTAAAAGCCCACAGGAGGCTTTTCCATTTCCCCCTTAATAGCAATGCCTTCCCTCTGGAGATTAACTCCAGCTTACACTATACATGGACAGCTAGGTGCACAACTGGGCCTGGAGTCAGGAAGACCTGAATGCACATCTGGCCTGAGATACTTACAAACTGTGTGACCCTGGGTAAGTCACTTAACCCTGTTTGCCTCAGTTTCCTTATCTGTCAGACGAGCTGGAGAAGGAAATGGCAAACCACTCCAATATCTTTGCCAAGAAAACCCTAAAAGAGGTCAAAAAGAAGTCTGAAATGACTGAACAGGCAACACTACACATAGTTACTTGTACGATGTCTCCCTCATTAGACTGTGAGCTCCTTGAGATCAGAGATTGTCTTTTACCTTTCCTTGTATTCCCTGTACTCAGCACAGAAGGCATTTAATCAATGTTTATTGACTGGCACTAGTACAGATTGCAATCCATCTAAACCTTCTCATCCTGTGTGACTCTCTTCCATATCTTTCAGAGGGACAGCCTAATGTGGTGAAAGTCTCTTCTGGGTCTTTTAATATTTCACGTATATGGGTTCAGCACTTGGATACCCATTTATCACTCACTCTCAATATGTGATCCATCCACCTCCTTTTCTGGTCCTTCTTGACCATAATAATAAGGTTTAAAAATCAATTGAGCATTCAAACATTTATTAAGCACCAACCTACAATTTTCCAAGTGCAGTCCTGGGTACTTGAGACACGGAGACAAAAATGAAGCAGTCCTGTCCTCAAGAGTTTACATTTGATTGAGGGAAAAGCATATAGATGTCAAATACGTACAAAGTAAATACAATGTCAGTTGAGGTGGAGGGGAGGCAGTAGCAGTTGGAGGCATTGGGGAAAGATTCCTCTCAGGGAAGATGTTTAGGCTCAGCTTTGAAGGAGAGAAAAGATTCTAGGGTGGGAGAGTGTATTCCAGGAACTGAGAAATGGAATGTCAAATGTGAGGAAGAGCAAGAAGGATACACCACAGAGAATGTGAACAGGAATAATGCATGATAAGGCTGGAAAAGTAATTACTTAAATAATCAAATAGAGATGAAGGATGACTTTTGTGAGGATTATGAATAAGGTAAGAGAAACATGCTGTTGTTTCAGTCATGTCAGACTCTTCGTAGCCCCATCTGGGATTTTCTTGGCAAAGATACTGCAGTGGTTTGCCATTTCTTTCTCTGGCTTAATTTACAGATGGGGAAACTGAGGCAAACAGGGTTAAGTGACTTGGCCAGGGTCTCACAGCTATTAAGTGTCTGAGGCCAGATATGATCTCAGGAAGATGAGTCTTCCTGGCCTGAGGTCCTGCACCCTATCCACTGTATCATCACATTGATTTTTACTAGTCTCTATCTTCCACGGAAATGCTGCTAGCTGTAGGAGGACAGGTGCTGGGTCTAAGTCCAAGTCATAGTCCAAGGGTCTGACTTCCTTTAGTCCAGAGAGATCAGAGGGTTACCGGGTGGAAAGGACCTTAGAGGGGGAGTCCAGACCCTTCATTTATAGATGATGAAGAGGTCCAGAGAATTTAAATTACCTTGCTAAAGTCACGCAACTACTAAGGAGCAGCGTTGGGACTTGAACCCTGGTTTTTAGACACCAGAGCCTGGGCTCTTTTTATACTGCCTTTCAGGGCATAACAGCCCAGAGTGAGTTTCTTGGCTGAGCCAGTGGGGCTGAGGAGCAGGACCAGGAAGTTTCTATGGGGCAGCGTTCCTGGTGGGAGAGAAGACAGACAATGCTTTTGGCAAGTAGGCTTAGCCAGTTACATCAGCCCCAAGTAATGGTTAATAATACTGAAGTCTAGAAGGCACTGGTTTAGATGACTTTACTGTTAGCAGCTCCCAACCGGAAGCTTTGCCCTTGGCTCCCAAGAGTCTACTCAACGGGCAGTGAGAAAACCATTTTCTCATTGTGACTCCCTGGATGGCCAGGCGCTGGCTAGGCCCGTGTTCCTTCTCACAGGCCATTAGCAGTTTTCCACATTCTCAGTGATGGGTCCCGTGCTCCCAGCCCATCTGTCTGGCCCCTCCTTTTTCCCACTTCCTTAGCTGGGAACCCAGGGCCATCTGGGTGGCGCCAAGTGGAGGGGATTGGAGACCAGTTATGAAAGGAACTCCTTGTACTTTCTCTCCTGTCTTATCTGTTCCCTGCAAGAATCTGTAGCATTCTGTTCTCCCTTGCCCCAAAGCCATCTGATGATATCCTCCCAGCACCATACTGTGGGCATCAGTGGTAGTCCACCCCCTAGGGACACAATCAGGCACTGACATATTCATATCCTGGCTCCAACACCATTCATGCGTCCTTGGGCAAATCACTTTACTTCTTTGACACTTTCCTCATCTGTAAAATGGGAATAACAAGCCTTTCACTATCTCTCACAGGGTTGTTGTGGAGGAAGTGCTTGGTGAACCAACAATAGGATTGTGAGATAATATTAGGAACGTGTGAGTGTCCGTGTGGGCGGATAGAAAGAGTGTTTTGGACTTGGAGTCAAGGGACCCAGATTTGAATTCTGGCTCCAATAGCTGTGTGACCATGAGGAAGTTGTTTAAACTCTTTGACCTTCAGTTAATTCATCTGTATAATGGGAATAATAATTCCTACTTCATGGGGTTGATGTGGGTGGGGAAATCACTTTGTAAACCTTGAAGCACCACATTATTCTATTATTATTATAAACTCTGAGCCAGGATCCAGGCTTCTTCCTTCAACACTTGCCACCCCCTCTCTCCTCCCCCAGGAGGGTCTCATTCTGCTAACCTCCTGCTTCCCATTGAAGCTCCCCCCCCCTCCCCCTCCCCCAGCCCTTGTCCTGTCCTGTCCTTTCACACACTCCCTAGCCACCAGCCCCCTCTCCCCCACACCCCCAGCCATCTGCTCCTTTCCATACAAGAGGGGGGTGAGTCGTCTGTGCTGTTTTCAGAGATTTTTCTGTGGCTTCTCAGGCTGCTTAGGAGACAATCCTGTAAATATGGCTTTGAAACAGCAACAAAAACAAAAGAAAGAAAATAAAAGTGAGAAAACCTAGGCTTGAAATCTAGCTCTGTCTCTGACAGTGTGACGGACAGCAAGTCACTTCTCACTGGGCCTCAGTTTCCTCATCTACAAAATGAGGCTACTTGGACTTTGCTCTTCATATACTCCAAGTGTCTTTCTAGCTTTAAATCTCTGTGACTTAAGTAGCAAAGCTAGAACTTGAACCTAGGATCTAAGATCCAATGATCTTTCTACTACATCCCACATTGCCTTTTCTTCCTTCCATCCTTCCATTCTTCCTTCCTTCCTTTCTCTCTCCCTCCCTTCCTCCCTCTCTTCCTCCTCTCTTCCCTCCCTTCCTCTCTCCCTCTTTTCCCCTCTCCCTTCCTCCTTTCCTCTATTCTCTTCCTTCCTTCCTTCCCCTGTTTAGTGCCGAAAGGGACCTTTGAGGTCATCCAGTCCCATGCACGCCCCATTTCATAGATGAGAAGTTAGGATCCAGAGGATTTGCCTAACATCACACAGGCAGCAAGTGGCAGAAGCATGATCAGAACCCAGGTCTTTTGATTTTAAAGCCAGCATTCTTTACATTGTACCAATCTTGGACCACTCTGACCGCTAGATCCTCTTACAGCTGTAGAGTAGAGCTCTGGAGAGGTTTCAACAAAAGAAGCGTTGTGAATTAATAGCTAGTATTTATATAACACTCAAAGATTTGTAAAGCAATCCCTTTCAGCTCTAATCCTGTGAGGCTATGATCTTAATTAGACTGTAAGCTCCCCAACTGTGGGGACTATAGTTCGACAGCATGGTGGGTTGGAAGAAGTACTGAGCTGTATTGTTAGTAGCCCTGGGTCATAGTTCCACGTCTACACTAACTCATTGCGTGGCCTTGGACAAATCCTATCCTCTCTGGGGACATCAGTTCCCTACCTGTAAAATAAAGGCATTTGAACTCATAACCTCTATGGGATCTTCTAGCTCTCACATTTTTAAGAAGCTTTTCTTTGGATTTTGGGGTGCTGTGAGCCCTTGTCCCTATCCCCGCATCCCCACCCCTCAGTGGACCCATTTTCTTGCAGGGTCTTGTTCTCCTACCTCCTGGCGCAGAGTGAGGCCTCTCCCCATCTCTAGCACTTGTCCATGGACTACTGCTGCTGGCTAGAGTTCTGTTTCTGGACCTTCATTTTCTTTTTGCTTTTTTTCCCCCTTCTCCTCCCCAGGGGTGCCTTTTCCATCGTTAGAAGGTGTGTGAAAGTGTTAGCCGGTCAAGAGTATGCAGCCAAGATTATCAACACGAAGAAGCTCTCAGCCCGAGGTAAGTGACTTGGCTCGGGGTTTCTCCTTCCCTCCTGGGATTCTTCTTTCACTTTTCCCACCTCTACACCCCATTCCCCAGCAACTGGGTTTGGGTCAAGGCTAGGCCCTGTCTTGCCTGAGAAGAACTTGGGGGGAAGGAGAGGGAGGGAGAGGGATGGAGGAGGAATGGCTCCCCCCCCTTCTTCTTAGATTCTAATTCTTTGTTCTATTGTTGGTTCTGAATTTGCAGTCAGAGGACCTGGTTTTGGATCTTGGTTCTCTGCCATTTACCAGCTGTGTGACCTTGGGAAAATCACCTAAACTTTCTGGGCTTTGGCTTTCTTCTCTATAAAAGGATTTTAGGCCACATGTCCTTTTTTCAGGCTCTTTCCAGCTCCAAATCCTTTGATTTGATAAATTTCTACTTGCACTTTGGAATCATACCATTGCTTCTTTCTGAAGGATGCAGATGATAGAGGCTACAGTTTATCTGACATGCTGTGGGTTTTTTGGGGCTAACGTATGCTTCTACTTTTAGCCAAGATATAGGTAGAGAAGTGGCTTTGTAGACATCCTTTTCTTTCTACTTGGGTACGTAGAGAGCCAAGGTTAAAAATGGCTGTCTTCTCTGCCTCTTGTTTCCCCCTCCCCCAATCCCTGAGGCAGTTATAAGTGCAGGATCTTCTGCTGCCCCCAGTGAAATATCAGAGCTATCGTGGCATAGTGGATAGACTGTTTGATTTGGAGCCAGGAAAGCCTGAATTTAAATCTTGTGTCTCATACCTAATGGCTGTGTGGCCCTGGCTAAGTCATTTAATCTTGTTGATTAGGCAGCTTCCTAATATTTATTCAATCCAATGAGCATTTATTAAGTACTCACCATATTCAAAACACTGTGCTAGGCACTCAGGGTACAAAGACAAAACTAAAAATATGACCTTGACCCTAAGGAGGATATGTTCTCTTGTGGTGGGGGGGGACTGTTCCATAATTAGGACCAAGAGCACACATGATAATCTGTAGAGGGACAAAGTACAAACCAGGGGGATCAGAAAAGGCTTCCTGTAAGAGGTGGCACCTGAGCTGAACCTTGAAGAAAGCCAGAGACGTTAACAGGTGGAGGTAAGGAGTGAGTGCATTCCAGACATTCCAGGCATGGGGGAACCACATGTGCAGAAATGTGGGATCGGAGATGAATGCCAACTGGGAAATAATGAGTAGTTCAGTTTGACTGGAATTTGTCTACTAAGTTAATGAATGAGTTAAAATGCTCATTGATGGAGGGAATTCTCACGCCATTGAAACTTTAACATATTGATACAAATTTCATCATATTAGATTTAATTTAACCTTTTGGAATATAAACAGGGTTATAGTAGTAGTCAGATTTGCAACTGCTAGGCACTCACCAATCCATGCCTTCCTTATCTTTCAGTCTTTCCTCTATGTGAATGGATGGTCCTGTCTGCTTAAAGTGCATTTTATGAATGCCTATGCTCATAGAATTTTAGGTTATCCAAATCATTTTGTCATAATGACCTTGTGAGGTAGGTAGTATATTATTATCTCCATTTTACAGATGAAGAAACTGAGGCTCAGAGAGGTAATGGGACTTAGCGAGGGTTACATGGCTGTTAAGTGTCAGAGTTGGGATTCAAGCCCAGGTCTCTTCTGACACCAGGTCCAACACTCTTCTCACTACTCTAGGTCACCTCTCTAAGTCAGTGCAGGGTGCAAGAGGATCCCAGCCCATTGCCTTCTAGTCTTCTGCTCTTCGTACCCTTCTTTATTCTCTTCCAGAATTAATGCCAATGGCCCAAAGAGCTCTATGTCAGTTAATCTGGAGGAATAACCTCCTTCCCTGATCTGCCATCATAGTAGACCTGTTTGGGATTGACATAGGACGGGCATGGCTCAATTGTGTTTCTGCCAGCAGCTGTGAGAGGCTGACATTTGGCATCTGGTCTCCTTGGAATCTTAATCTGTTGTCAGTCCAGGTTAGCCAGAGCCAGGCACCAGATGCCCATGAAAACATTGTAGTCCATACCCTAAACACCCACGCATGACTCAGGCCAAGGTCTTGATTCCACCTTCTCCCAGAAACTCTCCTTTCTCTCCCAGGATCTGGAAGCTCATCTTTTTCCCTGGTCCAAGACTGGTTGTTGGGGAGGATACCTACAAATCTCCCCATTGCACAGGGCCCCTCCAATTAGGAGTACCCCCAATTAGAAATGTGCGTGGATGAGTGCTACTAGGGATGGTGCAGGGCCTGAGGCAAGCAACAAAGAAGGACCATACAACAGTGTAGATCCCCTTGCTGACCTCCTTGTAAAGGGGGCAGTTCTGCTATCCCTTTCCATGTCCCTAAGAGGTAACAAAAGCCTTTGGGTCAACACCGAGCCTCTCTTCCCACCTACCCTTTGCAGTACTCGACTCAGCTTGTATTTCTTCTTGTGTGGGGCAGATCATAAAATCCAGTAGATTACTTCTAGAATCAGAAGCACTAACGTTTACATATTGCTTTAAAGTTTGCTAAGCACTTTATATATATATATTATCTCATTTGATCTTCACAAAAATCCTCTGAGGAAAGTGCTGTTCTTATTCCCATTTTGCAGATGAAGAAATTGAGGCACACATTTAGATTAAGGGATTTGCCCGGGATCACACACACTAGTAAGTGTCTGAGACAGGATTCAAACTCAAGTCTTTCTGACTGCAACTCCAGCACTCTCTTCACCGTGCAAACTGCCACATTGGTAACTGAGAGTTCTAGTCACTGAGGTGTTGTGTGACTTTGGATAAGTTCACTTCCCCTACGTGTCTTTCAGTTGTTGTTTAGTTGTTTTTTCAGTCATGTCTGAGTCTTTGTGACACCATTGGGGGTTTTCTTGGCAAAGATACTAGACTAGTTTGTCATTTCCTTCTCCAGCTCATTTTACAGATGGGGAAATTGAGGCAAACAGTGGTTAAGAGTCTTTCCCAGGGCCACACAGCTAGGAAGTGTCTGAGGCTGGATATGAATTCAGGTCTTCCAGATTCCAGTCCTAGGGCTCTATCCAATGCATCACCAATTGACTGCGCCCCATTGCCTTCAAGCCCCCAGGCCTCCTTAGATTTTAGCCTTCCAGCAGGAAAAAGGCTTAGTACAATTTCTCTGAGCAGATTTTTCTGCTGGCTATTCAGGGACTGGAACAAACTAAAAAAAAAAAAAGAGTTTCTTACTTCTTACTCTTGGGAGTATTTGGAATAGCTCCAGGCATCCATGGTTCTCAGGGGAGTCTGCTCTTGGCTCCCCAATCAGAAAAGCAGCACTACAGGATTCAGAGTAGAAGGCAACCTGAGAAATCTTGTCCAGTGACTTTATTTTACAGATAAGGAAACTGAGGTTTAAAGGTGGGAGGGACTTTCCCTGAAATTATACAGTAAATAAGCAGAAAAGCCAAGATCTGAACCCAGGTATCCTTACTCCAAATCTAGTTCCTTCTCCTCTCTACCATATTGGTTGAGTTTTACATCAGTGTGAGAGGGGAGGGGGTGTGGAAGGCTCCAAGGTCATTGTGGGAGGTGGTGGTGATGGTGGTGGTGGTGCCGGGCTCTTGATTTCATCTATGTTTGTGAATGGAGTTGGAGAGTGGTTGGTTTCCTTGGCACTCAGCCATCCCATAGAACAAGGAAGCCTCTGTGACCAAAATCCCAGGCCTTAACAAGCAATGGAACCTATCAGCTTAGCATCTCCGGTCCAACTCCTTTCCTTTCTCTGTGCAGTTATGGCCAAAGCCACAGGCAGGAATGTTACATCAATGGGGTTCCAAAAATAAATTATAGTTCATCCAAAAATGTGAGTCGCTGGTCAGAGGAGGGCCTTCCAAGTGGTGCCCAAGAAGTGGGACTTCCAAGTGGGACCCAGGCATCCCCCAATGCCTTAGTGGGCCTACTTTTCAATTTCAGCACTCAAGTAGAACCCATTTGAAGGAATGGGAAAAAGGAAATGGGGGTGTGAGAAAGGACATTCCTCTCTGCTTCCATATTCCTGTCTTGTTTTTGACTCCCAAGTCATTGGGGTCCAGTGTTCTCATTTGTAAAATAAGGCTATTGGGTAAGATCTCCCTGGTCCTCTCTGACTTTTAGGTCCTGGGATGTTTCTATTCTGATTGGGTGGGAAATAGGCGGAATCTGGTTTGTAGTCCTGGATCTATTGGTAATTTGCTGTGTGATCAAAGACAAGGCATTGGACTAGGATAGTTCTTCCAGTAGTGAAGCCTTTAATTCTGTGGGTCTGTAAATTAACAAGGGAGAGGAAGAGAGGCATGGCAGATAGAAAGCCAGCCTTCAAGTGAGGAAGACCTGAGTTCAAGTGCTGATTATGAAATATACTGGCCATACAACCTTGGGCAAATCAAATCGATTAACCTTTCAGTGCTCCAGATGGTTCCCTTGTTGAGTTGGTGCCAGTCTACATTGGCAAAGGGAATTTCCCTGATAGGGAGTTCTTTACACTAATGAAATATAAATGTAAAATAGTTCGTGTAACATATTAAAATTAATCAAGTGCCTTCCTCATGACAACCGTGTGAGGTAAGAACTATAGCTTTTCCCATCTAGGTTTTACAGATGGGGAAACTGAAAGTCCAGAAGGATCGATGTCCCTGGGGTCATGGAGCTAGTAAAGGTGAGAAGCAGGATTTGAATTCAGGTCTTTCTTATTCAGTCTACCACCCTATCTAGCATCATGCTGCCTTGAAACAAAGGATGAATTGGAGAGATACTGATTATCTTTTGCAGTCTTGGCAGAGCAATTTCCTACTTAACCAAGCAAAGTGGACTAGGCCTGGAACTGTGTGAAATCTGGTCAAGTTTGAAAGACATCAGGCAATAGGCATTAAGTAAAAATGGGGAGGAAAATGGACCCAGGGAGGGAGCATGGTACTTTCAATAGAAGAATATTAGAACAGCCAGGAAAATGAGACTGTGTGTGTTTTCTGTCGCAGCTCCTCTCCCCACCCTCCCCCAACTCGATGAAAATCCTTTCTAGCTAACTCCTTCCTCAGGGACTGGGGAGGTAAGTAAATTGACTTTCTTCCTACAGAGATTCTCTGCTTACTATGTCATTTCCTCATCAGTTCTTAGACGCTCTAGTGTTGGTCCATCTCTTTGCTGCAGAATTTTTTCCTTTTTTCTCCTGATGAAGGGGATGGGGAAAGGTCAAGGATTTTCCAGCTCCTTCCTAAATAGCCCCTCCTGGAAGCTAGAAAGTTTAGCTAGGAAGCAGGTATAATTGGTAGAAAAGCAGCATGTCAGTTTTGATCTGTGGTTCTCCAGAATTCTGAGAGGTGTGGGTGGGGGGATGGGAGCTGGAAATTGAGGCTTGGGCAGGGACTGGGGGGACAGACTTTGAGGAGCTGATGAAATGAAACTTATTTTATACAATTCCTTTCCTCTGCATTCCAGTCAGACCCAATTACTCACTGTCTCTGATCTCATCCTGACCTCTTTGGTGTTTCTACATTTTCTTACACTACTTCTCATGCCTGAAATGGATTCCTGAAACTTCTGTCTCCTTCTTTTTTGAAATCCTCCCCTACACCCACCCCTTTTAGTTCCAACTCTGGTGCCATTTTCTCCAAGAAGCCTAACTATCCTCCTCTCCCAGATGAAAGTTGTTTGTCCCTCCTTAGATTTCCTGTAGCACCCCCCCTTCTCCCCTTTGTACTTAGCCATGATTCCATGATTGGGGGCTAACCCTATACTCAGCTTTGTGCCAAGACTAGACACCTGGGAGTTGGAGGCCTTAGAAAAAGGAATGAAACTATAAGAGTTCTCCCTCCCTCTCTAGAAGGATTCGGGGAAGGAGAAAGGATGTTGTGGGTAGTGGTTTCACCAAGGACAGGGTACCTGTGGCCTTCCACAGGTTCACCAGTTGGGTACTTGTGGCCTTGTGTTTCATACTAGGACATTCTGTACTCTAAGGCTTTATCCTTGTCCTTATCTCCTTTGCCCTTCAAAAATGATGGTAAATAAATAATCTCAGGGAAGGGGCACAGATCCAGGAGCTATGATCTAGAACCATTTTCCTTGAGCTTTCTTTAAAGAAAGATAGGCAGGCCTGACCCCAGAGCTGGGATGGTGTGTGTGGTATACACTGGAGGCAGGCTTCCCTCTCTCTCCTGTGTGGCCACTAGCCCTGGCCTCAGAGAAATCCTCTAATTTGCCAGAGGCCTGGGCTTGGACACAAGCCCTTCTTTCTCCTTAATTCACCTAGGACCCAAGTAGGATTTTCCAGCAGGATTTTCCAAGTGGTAGCCAAGAATGAGTAAAACAAACTTCCTACCGCAGGTATCTCATCTAAACCCTCCCTAGTTTGACCATAGAGATCATCTAGCCTCCTGAGCATACTGATCCTGTGTTCAATTAGCCAGAACTCAGACTTGGCCTTACCATGGTAAGATAACCTGCCAATGCCTGGCCTCATCAGCACCAAGGAGCTTCAACAGCTCTGGGGCAAGGGCTGTTAGAGGGTAGAGAAGCCTTGGCAAGTGGGTTTACGCTCTGGTTTCCAGAGATGGCCTCCTTCCTTTGCAATCTTTGGTTGACACCCTTGCAGAATATCTACTCCCTTAGAACATAGAACATCAGAGCTAGAACGGACCTTAAGGACAAGGACTGTGAGAGCTGGAGGGGCCTTGGAATGGATCATAGAATGTTGGAGCTCAGAAGGGACTTCAGCGATAAGCTAATAACTCAAGCCCCTCTTTTCTACCTATGAGAAAATTTCCTCTCCCCTCCCCCCATGGTGAAGCAGGGAGTTTCGGGATTCAGAGGGGAGATGAGGGGACTACCCTGTCTTTGAGAGGAAAAATCTGCTTCACTCCCCCATCCACAGTCCAACCCAATACGGTTCTGACCTAGAGTTCCTTGTGTTTCAGATCATCAGAAGCTGGAGCGAGAGGCCCGCATATGCCGCCTGCTAAAGCATCCAAATATTGGTAAGAGAAATCTGCCCTTCCCCAATCTCCACCAAGGGGAGTGATGACTGAGAGGGGCTGCACTTGTGGGTAAGAAGATCAGGAATGGGATAGGAGTGGGGTGCCAATGGGTGGCGAGGATGGGGCTTGTGTCTCCTGGTATTGACTCCTGGACTGAATGGGGGAAGGGGGGATGGAGAGGTAATTTTGGATTCTTTGGAGGGGGAAGGGAGGGAACTGGGTGGGGGTGGAGGGCAGCCACATTCCTTAAGAAGCAGCTGGGGGTGGGGGTGGGGAGGGGGAGGGAAGAGAAGGCCTTTTCCGCCCAGCCTACGCCTGCCGGCAGCCTCCTTCAGAAAAGCTGTTTCAGGAAAACTCCTGAAGCTCCCAGAAAGATTAAAATAGTCCCCAGAGGGAAAAAAAATGCCCAGTGTACCCCCCTTACCCCCCACACACAACAAACCCACCAACAGTGATGCTGAGTCAATCTGTCATCCACCCCCACATGCACCCAGCACCCCCTCCCCATCCCAGCTCTGCAGCAAGCCCCAAGCCCTGAAAGGGAAGCATTTAGAGGCCCTGGCAGGGCAGGATGGTTACTTCTCTGGGGAAGGTAGGTTGCCTGAGGTGGCAAATGCACCTAGACTGGCCTCACATACCTGGAAAGGGAGCCCTGGCAAGAATAGGCCCCTCTCAAGTCCACTCAAGGATGAAAACTCCCAAACTGTTATTCCTGGCCTTGCCTCAGGCTGACAGGCTTGTAAGAGAGGCCTCTGGTACAGGCCTCTGAGGTATGACTTAGAGCTGGGAGGGACAATTTAGGCTATTAATCCAAACTCTCTGAGGCAACTAAGCCAGGTTTGTCCACAGCCACATGAGTGGCATTCAGTCCCATGTCCAAATGGAATATTCTTTCTACTATACCTACCAATATGAGCAAGTTAGGGATAAAGGAGGGGCCGGACAGCTCCCAAACACAACATCCAAAGCCTTTAAGGTCCTATCTTTCCACCTGATTTGTTTCTTGGAGTCAGAACCCCATCTCTTCCAATTCCCTGGTCTCAACTCTCAAAACAAGGTCACCGGCTCCTCACTGTTCTCTCCCTCTCTGGCCCTGAGCTGTCTGGGATGAAAGGTTTCCCTGATGCACAACCCACCCTTTCCCTGCACAAGTTTTTCCCCATTTATCCTCCAAGTCTGAAGCAACCCTGAGGTAGATAAAGGCAATGTGGAATAGTGTATAGAGTCCAGGACTTGGAATCAGGAAGATCTGGGTTCAAATCCTGCCTCTAAAAATGGGTGTGTGACCTTGGGCAAAGTTAGTTAATCTCATTGTGTCTCAGTTTCCTCACTTGTAAAATGAGGTCTAAGGGTCCCTTCTAGATCTAAATCTATGATCTTATGAGATGCCAAAATAATAAAAGCTAGCATTTATATGATGCTTTTAAGATTTAAAAACTGTTTAACGTATATAAAATCTCATTTGATTTTCACAACAACCCCGTGAGACAGGTGTTATTCTTATCCTCATTTTATAGATGAGCAAACTGAGGGATGGTTAGGTGGTTTAGTGGATAGAACACCAGCCCTGGATTCAGGAGGACCTGAGTTCAAATCCGACCTCAGACACATGACACTCACTAGCTGTGTGACTCTGGGCAAGTCACTTAACCCCAATTGCCTAGCCCCCCCCAAAAGAAAAAGAAACTGAGTCTGAGTGATTTGTCTAGCCCCAGGGTAACACAGCTAAGTAAATGTCGGAGGCAAGATTTTTTTTTTGGGGGGGAGGGAATCAATCTGGGTTAAGTGACTTGCCTAAGGTCACACAGCTAGTAAGTGTTTGAAGCCAGATTTTAACTCAAGTCCTCCTGACTCCAGGGCAGGTGCTCTATCCACTGCACCACCTAGCTGTCCCTGAGCCAGGATTTGAACTCAGGTGTTCCTGGTTCCAAGTCCAGCATTCTGGGCCTTATGCCACCTAGCTACCACGACCAACATCTGGGACCTTCTGGACAAAGTCCTGCTTCTTAGGTGCTATTCAAGACTGGAGTGAAAAAGGAATTAGAACCCTACCCCCTCCATCCTCCCAATCCTTTACTGCCTTTCTTCTCCTCTTGGTCCCTGAGATTTCAGCTTAGCAGGGCCCCCGTCAAGGCTTGGTGCTAGTCAGGCAGTTAAATGGTGCAATATGGAGACTTGTACACAGGAGGATCTGAGTTCAAATCCTAGCCTCTCTCAACCTCAGTTTCCTCATTGGTAAAATGGGGATAACAAAAGCACTTACCTCATAGGACTGGTGTGAGGATCAAATAAGACAATATATGTAAAGTTCTTTACAGACCTCAGAGCCTGTATTAAGGTCAGGCCATTATTATCATTAATCGCTCAGCCTCCAGTGCTGCAGCCATCCTTGCCTGGGACTCGTACCAGCCTTGCCCCCTACCGAGTCAAGTTGTTGCGATAGCTTTCCTCTAAGCTGCTGGTTTAGTATCTGGCTCCTCCCAGTCTCTGGCTCCCCTATTGTGGTTCTTACTCTCCTAATCCAGTCACTCATTCAAAAGATATTTATGGGGCTGGGGGTGTGGTGTAGGAGGAGACCCTGGGCAAGGTGCTACGGGGGAGGGGCCCAGGATGAATAAGACTTTCCATCCTTCGTGAGCTAGCTCCCAATGGGGAGGATAAAACCAGCACCGTTGGGAAGCTCGAACAAGGTAATGGATTTTACAAGGTGCACGCACTTTGCGCACCTTAAGGTGCTGTACAAATGTGAGCTATGATTACTATGGTTATTAGCCTCCAGTCCCCGGGCCTTCAATCTGGTGATAACTTAATTCCCTGAGCTTTCTGCAGTATTCCCGCTGAGCTCAAACGATGCTTTTAGGACAATGCAAGGGTATACTGGCGAATGTTTAACAATCGGGCTCTTCAAGAAAAAAATAAGTAGGCACACACACACTCTTAAGTTGAATTTGCATTATTAATATTTTCTTCTCACTTTCTTAAGTCTAGACAATCAATGAAGCAAAAATCAAGTCCTGATTTGTAGGGATTGCTGATTTCTGAGGCGTAAACGCTTACGCTGACAATTTAACAACCGGTTCTGGCAAGTCTGTTAGAGCCGGCTCCTTGGTGAAAACACATAACTAGGCTGCAAGGTGGAACGAGAGACGGATGGAAAAAGGAACATAAAGGGAAATAGGGATTGAAAAATCACACCTGTTCTGGGGAATCAGGAAATAACGGTAGCTTATATTTATCCAGAGCCTCTGGCTTTACATGCATTATCTCATCTGATCCCTCATAAAGACTCGGTGAAATAACTGCCATTATTATTCTCAATTTACACATGAGGAAACTGAGTCTCAGAGTTGTTTAGTGGGAATGAGCATTTATTAAGCTCTTACTATCTGCCAGGTATAGTGCTAGATGCTTTGCAAATATTTCAATTGATCCTCACAACAACCCTGTGAAGTAGGTGAGCGATTATTATTCCCCTTTTACAGCTGAGGAAACTGTAGCAGAGAGAGGTTAAGTCACTTGCCTAAGGTCACTCAGCTACTAGTATCTGAATTTCTTTTTTTTTTTTCTTTTTTGGTGAGGCAATCAGGGTTAAGCGACTCGCCCAGGGTCACACAGCTAGTAAGTGTCAAGTGTCTGAGGTCACATTTGAACTCAGGTCCTCCTGACTCCATGGCCGGAGCTCTAGTGTCTGAATTTCAACAAAAATCTTCCTGACTCAAGGCTCAGCGCTCTGCCCTTTTTACAGGAGATGGCATTTGAGCTGGACTCTAAAGGATGGGTAGAGCGTCAATAGGTGGAGATAAGGATAGGAAAGATGTTCTCAGTGAATCATTTCGTGAAAAAAAAAGGTGAGTCAGGAAAGCATAGGATATGTTTGGGGCACAGTATACAGTAGAATTTTTCTGGAGTGCCGAGCATATAGGATATCCCAAAGGTCTCAGTACAATTTAAAGCTTTGTGAACTAAGACTTTTGGGACACCCTGTATAGAGGAACAATGTGCCATGAAGCTAGAAAGATTGGCTGGGGTCAGGATCCTGAGAGCCTTGAATGCCAGGTTCAGAAGTTGGACTTCATTCAGTAGCCAACAGGGAAACAGCAAAGGCTTTGGAACAGAGAAAGTGATGTGGTCAGACCTGGGTCTTTAGAAGATTCATCTGGCAGACTTTGTAGGATGGACTGGGCGGGGGGGGGGGGGGGGGGGAGAGGAGACAGGAAGCTCAGTTAGGAGGTTATTTCTATAGTCTGGGCAAGAAGCGATTGAGGCAAGGAGAAAAAAGGACAGATAAAAAAGAAGCAAGGAGAGGACAGAATTGCTTGGGGAGAGGAAGACAAATATGACTGAGTATTATTTGAGCCTGGGTAACTGGGGGCGTGGAGATGGAGCCCAGAAGGGTTGCAGTGTTGGAGGGTGACAACTCCGTCAGCTATTTATACCCAGAATGCACTTCCACCTCCTTTTATCCCCCCTCCCCCTTCCCTGCTGCTTGGAGACTGGGGAGTGAGGACAGCTTCCTGAAGCTGCACAAACAGCCTGATTACTCATTGATGGACAAGGCCATGTTGCCAGGTCATGGATCAAAGAGGAGAGGGAGGAATTGGAGGCCTCCCAGGAGACCTGTGGGCAGCCACCTCAGCAGAGGAAGGGCAATAGGGAAGAGACCAGGTCCATGAACACATTTTCTGGGGGAGGGGGACTAGAGCAGGTTACCTAACAGGGATGGAATTGGACCAGAGGGACCTGGGTTGGGTAAGAAGAATCTGACCAAAGTCATGGGTCCGCTTTCTTCTGAAAAGGTTTCAGATTCCAGCTATACTTACTTTGGCCAGCTTAGAAGGTAGCATTCCTCAGAGGTGGGGAAGAAGAGAAGGAGGTGGTAGGGCTAGGTCCAAAGGTAAAAAAACAAAAAATTCCAACCAGAAATCTCCCTAGCAGTGCGGTACAATGGATTTGGATTCAGAGACCTGGGTCCAAATCCAATCTCCGCTTCCTACTAGCCATGTGACCTTGGACAAGTCACTTAACTTACCTGGGCCTCAATTTCCTCATCTAAAAAGTACGAGGGTTGGATTATATGGCTTCTGAGATCCCTTACAGCTCAGATCTTTAATCTTATGGGTTCAAATGCTAACTCTACCTCTTACTGCCTTTGTGCATTTGGGCAAGTCACTCTGGGCCTCAGTTTCCTCAGAATAAGAGGTTTCGATTAGATTCTCTCCAAGGTCTCTCAACTCCATAATCCTCTGAAGAATCTTAAGAGCCTCGGAGCTGGAAGCAAATCTTAGAAGGCATCTAGCCCAGGTTCCCACGTCTCTGCTCCCCCCACCCACCCAGTGCAGGAATCTGGGTGGTTTATAATACCATAAATATCATGCTTAAATTTCACGATTTCATCAGTGTGGGTGCATTCACCACTGAGGTAGGTTCCAACCCCTCCCTGCTTAGGAGTAAATGCTTCAGGAGCTGCTATAACCCAAACAAAAAGCCCTCAAGGGCGGAGGAATTTTCCTGGTTCGCTGGTGATAAACCTCACCAAACTTAGCTGAAGGCTGGTATCTGGAGAAGAGGCCCACAGTCCAGCCCTGGGCCCATACCTGAGACCTTTCTAGCTTGTTTTCCCTCTGGCTTGGCAGTGAGAGCTGGCATGGCATGTGAAACATGCTGTGGTTAGAATAAGACCACCTAGATTTGAATTCCAGCTTTGCTATTTATTTTTCTGGGCCTCAGTTTCCTCCTCTCTAAAGTGAAGGGGTTAGACTAGTTGATGTCTGAAGTCTTGTGCAGTTCTAAATCTTTAGCCTGTGATGCTCATGACTGTGGAAGGCTATGGAAGGGACTTTGAGAGCTGAGAGTCCCCCCTATACCACCATGAGTCATTTGAGGAAGGTTTTAATGAAGGCACAGAGTGATAGGGTTGCAGATATACAGAGCTGGAAGGGACCTCAGAGACCATCTAATCCAACTCCCTCATTTTACAGATGAGGAAACTGAGGCCCATAAGTGATTTTCCCAAGGTCACAAGGAGAGTAAATAGCAGAGCCTGAATTAAATTCCAGGATCTCTGACTCCAAATCCATCACTCATACATGGAGAGGAGCTATTCACTGAAGCCCTATTAGGCACTTACCCTGACTTCTCACTGGCTGTTTGACCTTGGGCAAATCACTTCACCTAGGCCTCAGGTTCTCATTTGTAAAATGAGGGGATTGCTTAATGACCTCTAAGTTTCCTTTTAGCTCTAAACCTATGAGCCGATGATATTTAAGGTCCCTTCAACCTCTTAATTCTATCTGTGATCCTATGTGATGATACCTTTCATGAATGGGGCCCAATGGGGGATGCTGAGTGTTGAGTCTCCAGTACTGGGGACTGATTTGTGGGGCAGCTAGGTGTAGCAGTGGATGGAGTGCTGGGCCTGGAGTCCAAGGAGACCTGAATTCAAATCTAGCCTCATACATTCACTAGTTGTGTGACCTAGGGCAAGTCACTTAACCCTGTTTGCCTCAGTTTCCTCAACTGTAAAATGAGCTGGAGAAGGAAATGGCGAACCACTCCAGTATCTTTGCCAAGAAAACCCCAAATGAGGTCACAAAGAATGAAAAATGACTAAATAACAGTAATGTTCCTTTCCATCTGCCCCCATCTCCCTGGCTTCCCCCCACCCCCCCAGTACAAACACTCCTACCTTGTCCTCCTTGCTGTTAAGGTTAAAGTTGTAATCTGTGGCCAAGGAACAGGCAAATTCACCTTGCTCTAAAATTTATAAGCTGTGTGAGCAGACAAATCTCCGCCTCTTTAAGCCTCGGTTCCTCATCTCTAAGGTGCACCATCTACCTCACAAGGTTGTTATGAGGAAAGTACTTTGTAAATTTTAAAGCACTACAGAAAGGTAAACTATTATTAGTGCTAGTTTCCCCTTGTTTTGCTGGGGCTCTGCATCCCCTCTGTCACAAAGCACCCACTGGGAATCCATGACCCAGCAGCCGGGCCTTTGGGCTTCCTAGGATCAAAGAGGGCAGGCAGGAATTGTAGGCCTCCAGGGAGCAACCTCAGAGGAGGAGGAAGAGTAGTAGGGAGGAGAACATGTTTTCCTAGGGGAGGGATAATAGAACTAGTTTCCCTCGAGGCATGGAATTGGACTGGAGGGATCTGGGTTAGAGAAGAAGCTGGCGCTGTTGTGGGCCCCCCTCCTTCTGAGAAGGTTCAGGACTTCCAGCTCTAGGAGTTGGCAGTCTTTGTTCCCAGCCTCGACTGAAAGCTTTGTGGAAGGCCTGGCTTGCAGCCCCCTGCCCTTCTGTGGGGGATTGAGAAGAGTCTAGCACCACACCATGGAGAAACCCAAATCTTGGCTCCGCTCTCTGAACAGCCCTGAGTACTCCAGCACTTGTCTGTAGTAGATCAGATGGTTCCTCGCTCTCTGACATCGAATCTCAGCCCTCCCTCCCTTAAATCCAATATCTCTTGCGAGTGATGGCATCACCTTCCTGATGTCACGGTCCTCTCGAAAATGAAAGACAAACAACAACAACATCAGATCCAGCACAGTTTCCACAATCTCATGTTTCCACAGTGTGCAGACCCTGATCCAATCCCTTCCTGCTTTCCCAGTCCCACAGGGGATACGTTTATGCTAAATAATGCTTATGGTTTTTGGTTTTTTTAATTTGAGGGACGGTGAGGGTGAAAGATGAAGAGGAAAAGAACAGAAGTGGGGAGGCAGTGGAAGGGGGTTTGTGGTTGTGTGCAACTATTTGTACTTAGTCTAGTGCCTGGCATATAGTAGGTATTACTAAATACTTATTCCCATCTCCCTTTCTGCAGTCCGACTCCATGACAGCATATCAGAGGAGGGGCATCACTACCTGATATTTGACCTGTAAGTACCAACCAGAATCCTTTGCTGCTGTTTGCTGGTGTCAGTTCTAGGCTGGGCAGGCAGTGGGCAAGGCCAACACGGTATAGACAGGGAGGGAGGTGGCAGGACCAGACTATGCATCGAGGACCCTGAGGGGCTGAGAAGTCTTCCTGAGAGTTGACCTAAGGACTTTTTTGGGGTCTTTGATGAGGAAGTGAGGGTCAGACAGGTTGTAACTTGCCCATGGTCACACAATTAATAATGATTGGGGCAAAGTGGATTTGCTCAGCTTCTGGCTTCCTGGGGCAACAACAACTATAGAACTAATTGTGGATTAGTTGTTTCGGTGTTCGATGCTTCAGGTCAGCCTTCTCATCTCTGTTTCTGGATGGGGAGGAGGGGCGTGTGTGTGTGTGTGTGTGTGTGTGTGTGTGTGTACAGAGACAGAGACTAGAGACAGAGACAGAGAGAGACAGAGAGACTGAGAGATGCTTGTAGGGTCTTCTCTTGATCTCTTAGACCTGATAAATCCATAGGCTCGTGGGCTTGTAGATTTAGAGCTAGGACAGACCTTAGAGGTCATGGGGTTAAACCCCCTCATTTTATAAATAAAGAAACTTAGGCCCAGAGAAGTTATGTGACTTGCCCACTCTCGCACAGCTAGCAAGTGTTGGAGAATGGTTTTCCATTAGAGGAACAAATCCCAGCCCAAAATAATTCAAAGAGGAGGCCAGGAATACAGAAAAGATTCATTATCAAGGAGGGAGGAGGCTGTACTCTTTCTGATTTCATGAAAAAACATTTTCCCCATGCTGTGAACCTTGTTTGCTCTGCTGTTTCACTGCGGCATTAGTATCACAGGGGAGGCGAAGGGACTGAGCCCCAGAGGTGAGAAGAGAGTAGAGCTCTCCCCTGCTATCTGGGAGTGTGTGCACAGTTGTTTCCAAACATGCTGAAGGCTGTGTTCAGCCAGGGAGTGTGTTTAAGAAAGAGAAGAAGAAGTAGGGAGAGTGGCCCCATGCATGTCTGCTGCTAGAGAGAGAGAAAGCTTGAGGAGGCAGACAGAGGAGGAAGCTTGGGATAGTCCTGGCTTTCTTGCTGTATGCCCTTCTTTGTGTGTTTTACTGTGCCTTGCTGGTGCACCAGCCCTGGTGGTGTGTGTGTGTGTGTGTGTGTGTATACGAGTATGTGTGACCTCAGGTTTGGGGTCTGGGCTGGTTTGCTAGAGATTACTCTTGCCATTAGGGTGTGCGGCCTAGGAGGGTAGTCAGTGCTGCTTGAGGGTGACTGACTCCATGTCTCCCTCACTTTCAGGGTCACGGGTGGGGAACTGTTTGAGGACATTGTGGCCCGAGAGTACTACAGTGAGGCTGATGCCAGGTAAGTGTGAGGGAGGCAGCATTGGCTCCTGCCTGACCTCAGGGGACCGGAGCCTCAGACGTCTTGTGCGAAGCTTGTCTCCTGCCCATGCTGGTCTCTGCTTCTTTCCTGGAGTTTTACCCTGTGTCTGTGGTAACTATAACTCATGTTCCAGGGCCAATGCTGCCCAGCCAAGGCTTCTCTCTGCATATCTTCTGTCACTCACTTCGCCTCGTCCAAATGAGAAGATAGCCTCAAAGGGGCCTTTAGAGCCTTCCTGCAGGAATGGCCCCACCCAGAATGTGTCCCCTGTCTGATTCTGTCGGGAAGTGTCTGACCTGCCCATCTCTTCGTGTTCTCCACAGTCACTGCATCCAGCAAATCCTAGAGGCCGTGCTTCACTGTCACCAGATGGGCGTGGTGCACCGAGACCTGAAGGTGAGATGAGGAAGAAGGTGGGTGATGTGGGGCGGGAGCCCAGACTTCAGGGACTGGGAGCCTCCAGCACCTGCCCGGAGTGGCACATGAAGGGGTCGTGACGACACAAGAATCTCCATTTTGATGACTTACCCAGCTAAGCCTCAGATGTCTCACTTTACAGCATCTGAGGGTTGGAGGGAGGGTCTCCCAGGTCAGGTAGTGTCTGCAGCTGTGGGCCAGCTACCGAGGGCTACACACGCTGGAGGTGTCTAGCGGGGAGGACGCTTCCCTGTGACTCCGTTGGCCGGCCCTGCTTGGGCTGCCTGGGGAGGGAGAACATTGGGGACAGTCATGACAGTGCCAGAGAGCATCCCCTTCTGCAGCATCCCCACCAAGGGCTCATGCAGCCTCTTCTTAAGATCCTTAGCAGCAGGACAGCTCAACACCGTGGTCAGTTTCCTCTTCCATCTAGCTGAGAATTGTCTTCTTTATAACTTCCACCCCATTAATTCTAGTTCTGCCCTCTTGGGCCGGACAGAAGTCTGCAGTCATGTGCCTTCTGGCTTGTTGGCCCTGGCATCAGGGAAAAGAGAGGAGATGGATTCAGTGACTCATTATCATTGGAGCATAGATTTAGAGCTGGAAGGAGCCTTAGAATTCCTAGCCCAACCCTTTTACCTGACAGGGGAGGAGACAAAAGGCCCAAAGACAATGACTGCTAGGTGTAAAGTCACACACGGTGGCAAAGCTAAGGCTCAAACCCAGGTCTGCAGAGCCCAAATCCGGCACTGTTTCCACTGTACGTCCCTGACCCAGTATTCTGGGTCCTCAGTAACCTAGGGCCTGTAACATAAAATCATGGAAGCACAGACTCTTCAGGGTCCTCAGAGGACAGCTGGTCCAGTCTTTCACTCTATGCACTCTGTCTTCTGTTGTTGTAGCTGCTGAGTTGCTTCAGTCAGATTCGACTCTCTGTGACCCCATTTGGGGTTTTCTTGGCAAAGATACTGGAGCAGTTTGACCTTTCCTTCTCCAACTCACTTTATAGATGAGGAAACTGAGGCAAACAGAGTTAAGTGATTTGCCCAGGTCACACAAGTAATAACTGTCTGAGGCCAGATTTGAAGTTCGGTCCTCCTGACTCAAGGGCTGGCACTCTGTCCACTGCACCACTTAGCTGCTCCATATCTTCTATAGCATATCTATTTGAGTACCTCCAATGACAGGGAGCTCACTATCTGATAAAGCAATTTGTTTAATTCTTGTATAACTCTTGTTGTTAGAAAGTCCTTTTTTTATATGGAATTTCATTCTGCCTATCTGAAACTTCTGCCCATTAGTTCTAGTTCTTCTCACTGGGGCTAAGTAAGCCAAGTCTGATCACATCGCAGCCAGTCAGAGACTTAAAGACAGTGATTACAGCATCTCCAATCTCTTCCTCCCCACCCCAACCCCCAACTATGCCCCATGTGTTCTCTTCTCCAGACTAAATACTGCTAGACCTTTTCATTGATCTTTTTAAGTCATGGATCTTAATTCTGACACATCTGTGTGACCTTGGGCTAGTCACTTAACCTCCATGGGCCTCAGTATCCCCAACTATAAAATGAGAATGTTGGAACTAATCTTGGTATCAGTGTGAGATGCTGGTCTATATGCTTTCAGGTTTTTCCAAAATGAGAGTGTTAGACTAGACTAGACTAGAAGAGACCCCGAGGTCTCTTCCATCCTTAGAAATTTGTTTCTATGATCCTAGTTTAAAGATCTCTCCCATCCTGGTTTCCTAAAATGTGGCTCTCAGAACTGGATAAGAATGCTGGTGCTGGAATGTGTTGATTGTTGCCAGTGAGCCCAGGGCTTCCCTGATAGCCCCATTGTCTGGGTGTGTCCCTTAAAGAGCTGGGGTTAGGAGACTGAGCAAGTGAGAACTAAGAGCCCTCCCACCGGTTCCATTCCCCTGGTATTTTAAGCCTGTTGCTCAGGAGCAGGAATGAAAAAAAGGCAGCTCAAATTTAGGCCACTTCAGAGAGATAATTAGGGGCACATTCATCAAACCAGGGCACCTCTGGCACCAGGAGTGGAGACTCTTTGGGAACACTGTCCTGGGAGAATGAATGGGCCATTAGTGAGTTGAAGCAGACTGGGACTATATTTAGCCGAGGCCAGTCTATCTTTGGGCAGCAGGAAGGTCAGGCTTTGGTCCACTCAGAAGCCCAGAAGACAAAATCAGAAATCCGCCACTAAGAAATTATAAATCAACTGCCTGAGCTTAAAAACTAATTCCCAAAAGTAAAAGGGGAATGTGTCTCAATGAGAGATCTGCTCAAGACATCTTATGTCACCTCTTGGGGGTCTAGGGCTTTCGGCTTACGCTTCCAGATTCCGGAGCTGTTGATGAACGAAAGGAAGTACTTTTAGGCCAGGTGATGGCTGGTGGACCTGTGGTTGTGTGCTGGGCACAGGGAACTACAAATACCAGCTGTGCCTAGTGGGGAGAGAGCCTCCCAGAATCTCACCTGGCCAGTATTTGGGGGTTGATTGAAGATCGGGAACAATGGAATCAGTAATGATAGAGATAGAGATGATAGGGGCAGCAATGATGGATAGTCATGATGGATATAGTAATGATAAATGAAGGCAGAGATGATGAGGATAATCATGGTGGAAGCAGAGATTACGGAGGCAGTAATGATGGGGACAGGAATGATGGAGACCGGAATGAAAAGGTATAGTATAATGGAAAGAGCCTCAGTGTCCTCATCTGGAAAATGGGAATTAGAATACTCTACCTACTTTGCAAGGTTGTTGTGAATAAAGTGCCTTGCAAACCTTTAAGTATTATATAAACAAAGGCTATTATTAGGAGAGAAATAGTAATGATGGAGGCAGTGATGGCAGAAGTAGGGATGGCAGAGGTCGTGATGATGGAAATTGTGATAATGGAGGCAGGTAGAATGGAATCGCTAGTGATGGAAACCATGCTGGTAGAGGAAGGGATGATGGAGGAAGGATTGACAGAAGTGGCAGTAATAATGTAGAATAGAGTGAGCAATGATAAAGACAGTTAAGATGGAGGCAGTACAACAATAATAGCTGACACTCATGTAGTACTTTAAGGAGTTTACATGCATTCTCTGATCTGAACTTTACAACGGCTCTTTAAGGTAGGGTCTCCAGGTGTTGGGATCCTCATTTTACAGATGAAGAAAAAACAACTGAGACTTATAGAGGTTAATTGATTTGCCCATGATCATAGAGCTGCTGTTGCTCAGTCACTTCAGTCTTGTCGCTTTGTGGCCTCATTTGGAGTTTTCTTGGCAAAGATACTAGAGCAGTTTGCCACTTCCTTCTCCAGTTCATTTTACAGATGAGGAAACTGGGGCAAACAGGATGAAGTGACTTGCCCAGGGTCACACAGCTAGTAAATGTCTCAGGTCAGATTTGAACTCAGGAAGATGAATCTTTCTTACTCCAGGCCCAATACTCTATCCACTGTGCAACCTAGCTGCCCAGAAGTAGTGAGTATCAAAATCAGGATTTGAAGTTAAATCTTGATTCCAGATCTAGAACTCTCTTCTCAATGGAGTCACTAATGATTGAGGGAGTGATGACAGAGAGATGTTTCCTGAAAACTAACTGACCTTATTTATACATTACCAGAGCCGTGCATCACTCCCATGACCCCAGGAAGCTGCAGATGCAGGGGTCATGTGAACGAGCCATTCTGGAGGCAGTTACTCTCTGAACACCATGCTACTACTCATAGCCAATAGTAACTGGGGCAGATTCCACAGGGGTTGAATCCCAGAAGCCAAGAGCTCTGCATTAGATTCCTCTCTGGATACTGATCCAGCCATTTTCCTTCTGACTCCAACAGATTTTTTTCTGGCTGAAAAGCAATATCCATTACTGTCCTTGATAGCGGCTAAATTGCTGTGTGACCTTCAACAAATTAATTTTTCTTCCATAGACTTCCATAGATTGTAAAATAATTGAGTTGAATTAGACAGTGTCTCAAATCTCTTCCAGCCTTGCGCTTTTACTAGTCTGTGATATTGGGGAACAGCCCCATGCCCATCTCTGGGACAATGAGAGGGGAGCCCTTGAGACTCATTGCGTAGTACATTCCATCTTAGAGAATGGAGAAAGGACATTTCAAAAGGCAAAGTCCTGGGGGAGGCCAGGGTATTGGAGGGAACATGCCTATTGAAGTTTATAAGTATGAGGGTAGAGGTTCAAGTGGAGGAGAAGACTGTGATTCAGGTGCTGAACTTCTTGGAAAAGGAGGGAGAATGGCCTGGGTGCTGGTGGGTAGCAGGTATCATGGTCTGGATGGAATATCTAGAAGGATAGAGGGGACCTCAAGAGATTGCTGAGGTGAGAGCAAGGAATGTGCCCATTTCTCTTTCTTCTGTGTATCCAGGGGCTTTAGAGAAAGTACACCCAATTGTGGAGACAGGGGATGAAGTATCTTCTGGTAAAACCAGGTTACCATAAGAAGCAAGAAGGTAGAAGAAATCTAAGACAATGGGAAATTTGTTAGCAGTAGAACAGAGGTCCCAGAGGGCATAATGGAAGGCAGAGCAGTATGGAAATACGGAAGGATTAGGGCTGAATGGTAGCCGTGGAAGGGAGATTTTATTTAGGCAGTCTATAATTCTGAATCACATTGGTTTGGAAAGGAGGAGAAAATAATTTGCTAGCCATTGCATGGATTTTCTCACCCCTTCCCTGAAAACTGAAGCTGCCCTGGGTGCTAGGATTCCTAGTTATAGCTCTGGATCAGGACCAGATATGAACCCCTCTTTGTCTGTGTGATCTCATTGAACAGCAACTTTAATCCGACAAACACTGTTGTGGGTTCTGGTTTTAAGTAAGAGTTTAAAATTAGGTAGAGTAATAAATTAATAAGTAACTGTTATGCCAGACACTGTGCTAAGTGCTGGGGATACACATATTAAAAAATGAAACAATCCCAATTTTCAACAAATAAATAATACGTAGTCCCTACCCTCATGAAGTTCATAAGTTTGGGGGGGGATAAGTATCTACATAGATAATACAAAATTATACATAATAAGCACATTTTAGTCACTAAACAAACTGTTATGTGAGGTCTGAGGGGAAAGGTCATTCATTGCTCAAGAGTGATGAGGGACAACTTCCTGGAGGAGGTGGCGTCACAGTTCTGAGACTGAAGATTGAAGGAGAAATCAACTGACTGTGTATGTCTGTGCGTGGTGGTGGTGGTGGTGGTGATGGTTATTCTAGCCTTGCCTATCTAGATGCCCCTCCTTGAAGCCTCAAGCTTGAAATCAGGGCGTCCAGTGGCCCTGGCCATAGTGGTCTTAGTCTAATTCCCTTTTGGTCCTTCTCTCACCCTTCCTTCCATCTGCCTTTCTCCTTAAAGGTTATTCTTACCTACTCATTACGTGTCCTTACCATTACACGTTGTCTCACCTCAGACTGTAAGCTCCTTGAGTTGAGGGACTCCTTTTGCTTTCCTCTGTATCCCCGGCACTCAGCGCTGTGCCTGGTGCACATCGAACACTTACTCAATGCTTGTTCCTGGACTGACTGCCTCTCCCTTCACCCTCTCTCCCGTGAAGCCAGAGAACCTGCTCCTTGCGTCAAAGCTGAAGGGGGCCGCGGTGAAGCTGGCTGACTTTGGCTTGGCCATCGAGGTGGAAGGGGAGCAGCAAGCATGGTTTGGTGAGTGGGTGCCGGAGGAAGGATGGAGTGTGGTGTGTCTGTAAAGGGGAAGGGCGTGGTTTAGAAGGGTCTCCTCTTCTCTCCCTCCCCACCTCTGCCTGCCCTGAAAATGGAGGATGGAAAGAAGGCAAAGGATTTCAAGACTCCCACGGCCTGGCCAGGGCCCAGGAAGCACATGCAGTACCCCGACCAACCCAGCTCTCTCAGCTGTTACCGTCTCCTCCGGTCCGTGCTGCTCAGAATAACTTCCTGAGGTCTTTGCAATGACTTAGTCACAATTTCCCCCATTGGCATAACACTTTATTCTTTTCAAAGTGCTTTCATTTCTAGTCTCATGTGATCCTTACCATGGCCCTCTGAGGGAGGTCATGCAAGCAAGATTATTCCTATTTTGTAGAAGAGGAAACTGAGGTTCATAGAGGGGAAAAGACTTGGCCAAAGCCACACAGTGAGTTAGTGGTAAAGCTAGGGCTAGATCACTCATTTTCTGAATTGAAATCCAGTACTCTATTGGCCACAGCCTGGAGCATAGCAGACCTGGAGTAGGGTAGATGCTTAGGCCTGAGCCTCAAAGTTCCATTTGGCTGAGATCAAGGACAAATTCTGTTCCTAAATAGCAGAAGGGCCGGGGCAGAGGATCTCCTTTCCTGGTAGATTTCCCTTCTGTATTGGTTCTTTTCCAATACTCCTTGCACTATGACAATACTCACTACACCCAAAGCAGAGATGAAAAAAAGAAATTCAGAATGGAAATGATTTAGTTCTCTATACGTTCGATTCTCTTTCCCTAGCTCATTCTATCATCCATGATCAGGCTGAGGTTTCCCAACTATAATTTTCAGAGGCTGTGCTATCCGATATCAAACTGTGGGAATACTTCTGGAGGGGTAGGGTGTGTGTGGGGAAACTTCTTTAGTAGAGAATGTCCCTCAGATCAAAGATTTGGGACTTTTATTTTATAAGTAATAGGGAGTTGTTGAAAGTTTTTGAGCAGGGGCAGTGAAAGGGTCAGAGTTGTAGGTTAGGTACATACAAGATGGATTAGCAAAAGAGTCTGAAGGTAGAGAGAACAGTTAAGAGGTTACTGTGATAGTCCAAGTATTAAATAACAGGGGGATAAATGAGGGTGATAGCCATGGGAATGGAAAGGAGAAGTCATTGCTAGTTCCTCCCTCATCGTCTTAGTAGGAACCTTTCCTCAGCTGTTAAGATTCAATAATCCATCTGTTTTTGTTTGTTTGTTTTTGTCTGTGGGGAGCAGGCTTTGCAGGGACACCAGGGTACCTCTCTCCAGAAGTTCTCCGAAAGGACCCATACGGGAAGCCTGTGGATCTTTGGGCATGTGGTAAGTTTAACCACAATAAAAGTAGGAGAAGTCATGGCAGGAGAGCTCTCTGTCCTATGCTAGACCAGGTGAGTGGGTACTCTACTCTGGCTTATGACAGCAGAGACATCCGGGTAACCCAGAATCACCCACATAACCCAGAGTATGCCAGATGATCTTTCCCATGTTGTCTGGTATGCATTCATGAGCTCTATGTCCCCCACCTGGTCTTCTTGTCAGAACCACACTTGGAGGAATGACATAATACTAGAAATAATAACTAACATTTATTAAGCACCTACCATGTGCCATATGCTCTGCTAAGCACTTTACAAATATTTTCTCATTTGAACCTCACAACAGCTTTGTGAGGTAGGTGCTATTATTGTCCCCATTTTATAATTGAAGAAACTGAAGCAAACAAAAATTTGCCTAAAGTAATATAATTAGTAAGTTTCTGAGGTTGAATTCGAACTCAGGTCTTCCTGCCTCGAGCCCCAGCACTCTATCCATTGCACCACTTAGCTGCCTCAGGAACTACTACTCCAGAGAACGCCATGCCATGTGCACATTTTGTCTCCCCATGGGTCATTACGGTGTCTGGCACCACCTCCTAGGAAGGGTGTATAAGGGAGGAGGCGTTCATGGGAATGCGCATAATGTGTCAGCTCTAACCTTCTCCCTGCGGGCCAGGAAGCAACATTACCAAACCTGTGGGATGATTGTAGCTGTCCAGGTCACAGGGATCCGGGGCTGCCATGCAGGGACCTGGTGCTCTGCTGAGGGTAGGAGGTGATAGAAACTTCTTTTCCTGAAAAGCCTTGTTAGCTGTCCGTGCGTCTATGACAAGGAGGCGCCCAAGTCTGCTGATAGGAGCAGACCGAGTGGAGACTGTCTCCTCATTCCCTTCCTTGCCCTTTTCACTGCTTGCTGCGCCGACCAGATAAAGGCTCCTTCTCTACCGTTACTTTTCCAGCGACCTCTGTCAGTACTGCTACCATCTTTACTCACTCAGCAAACATTTCTTGAGCATTTTGTTGTTATTGTTGCTCAGTCATTTTCTACTTGCGTCTGACTTTGTGATCCCTTGGGGCTTTCTCGGCAAAGATAAGGGAGTGGTTGGCCATTTCCTTCTCCGTCTTGAGCACTTACTGTGCGTTAAAGCCTGGGGGAGTTACAAGGATAAATGAGTGTGGTCCCTATACTCCGGAGCTTGCTCTGATCAGAGAGATAAGCGAACACAAACAGCTGCAATCCGAAGCAGGATATGATAACTGACAAAATGAGTGATACGGATCATCAGTGCTAGAGGAATTCAGACCCCCTTGGGGTGATCTGGCAAGCATCATGGAGGAAGTGGGCTCTGAGCTGGGCCTTGAATGTTGTTAGCTGGAGATGGAGGGAGTAGGGAAGGCATTGCAAGCAGAGAGAATGACTTGAGCAAAGATGTTGTGGCAGGAGAGTACAGGGCACATTTGGGGAATGGTGAGGTCACTGGTTTGACTAGACACAGAGTATAACAGGAAAATGGGGGGAGTTAGAGCTGGAAAGAAAGGTTAGGGTCAGGTGGCAAAGAGCTTGAAATGCCAGGCTAAGGAACTTGAATTTGGTTCTGTAAGCAATAGGGAGCCATTTAAGATTTTTGAGCAAAAGAGTAACAGGATCATGGAATTCAGAGCTGAAAAGAAACTTGAAATCATTTTATCTATCTATCTATCTATCTACCTATCTATCTCACTTTACAGATGAGGGAACTGAGGCCCAGATTTTCAGGGACATTATCATAACTTTAGGAAGATTATTTTGTTACATCATATCATATTATATTGTTATATTATGTATTTTTTATATATATTTATTACATATTAGATGGACTGGATGAAAAAAGACTGGAGGCAAGTAGACTGATAAAGAGGCAATAGCAATAGTCCAAGTATGAAGTAATCAGGTCCTAAACTAGACTGGTAGCAGTGGGAATGAAAGAAAGGGCTGAATAGGAGAGAGATTATGAAGGAAGAGTCAACAGGTCTTGGTGACTGATTTGGTTTGCTAGGCCAGGGAGGAATTGTCACAGATGACTCAGGTTTTGAGCCTAAGTGCTTGGGAGAATGGAGGTGCCATTGACAGAAATAGGAAATAGAGGAGGAAGAATGGATTATAGAAGGAAGGTAATGAATCCAACTTTAAAGATAATGAACTTGAGATCCCAGTGATATCCAGGTGGGGATGTCTAGCAGGTGCTTGGAAATTCGAGACTTGAGCCTGAGAGAAAATTCTAGGCTGGAAGATCTAGTTTGGGGAATCATTTTCATGGAGATCACAGATAAGATTTAGAGTTGGAGGTCCTTAGTTATCATCTAGTTCATCTCTTCATTTTACAGAGGAGTAAACTCAGGCTCATAGAAAGAAGGTGATTGACTCAATGCCACAGAGATGGTAGATCCCCAGGTCCTCTGACATCATTTTCAGGACTCTTCCTGTTTCACTTGTTCTGACTGATAATGAGGTTGTGGCAATGGAAGATATTGTTCATCCTTCATTCTCAAAGAGAATCAGTGACATCAGGAGTCTGATGACTTGTGTGTGAATTGGATTTAAGTGAGACAAAATTGAACAAAGTCATCAGTCTCACTCTTTCCTCCAGAGTCACTGGAGTCCAGTGACAAGACAAGTCTTGTTGACTGGCCATGGCCCAGGATGCAGTGGGTGACCTTGGCCTTTCAAAATTAAGATCTTTTCCAGGTCTCAGTTTGTCTGAGGCAACACCCATTCATTGACCAAGGGCTAGATTAGAGACAAAAAATGGCCTAGTTTATCATCACAAAAGTATCAATCTGCGCTCATTCTAAATCATCAAAATCCAAACAATCACAACAGAGGCTTGGACTGGGCCCTATTATTTACTGGCTATTTAATGAAAACCAGAGTGATTTGGGTTTAAAGGCATAGTCAGTAGCTCCATATGTATTGCAATGAACTTTTTTAAAGCCTGTTTTTTCAGAGCTATATTTCAAGAAGAGATCACCAAAGGAGAGAATGTAAGGACAGAATAGCAGTTGGCTGGAGTCAAAGTCTTGGTGGATAGCTGTAGTTAGGGAGTAAGAAGATAAAGAGGAACAAGAGGAGACAGAGAAAATTTGGTGAGAGAGGACTATGAGAAAGCAGCATACCAAGAGAGGAGAGCCTACCCAGAAGGAGTAACAGTTGCTGTTGAGAGGTAAAGAAGGATGAAGATCGGAATGAGACCACTGAATCTGGCGATCAGGTTATCGTCTCTCTCTAGCTAGACTTCTGTCTCCATAGTTATTGCTTCCATCAATACTACCCTTATCATTTCCTACTCTTCCTGACATCAGCATCTCACAGTCTTGTTCCTTTTCCCTAGGTGTCATCCTGTACATCTTATTGGTGGGATACCCTCCTTTCTGGGATGAGGACCAGCACCGACTATACCAGCAGATCAAAGCTGGAGCCTATGATGTGAGTATTGCTTAATCCTCCTGCTTATTCTTGGCTCTCTTAGCTTATTGGGCCTACTACGGTCCTCCTGGCCTGATCCTGTTATTTCTAAACCAGAGATGGTCCCCCTGGTGGGATTTATGGACAGGAGGACCCCTGTTCTCAACTCAGCCTTTGCATAGAGATTCCCAAGTCTTGGCTCTTAAAAGCTGGTATGGCTCTAGGCACCAATATGCATTGTGGACAGTCAAATTTTAGAAATTAGAATAGTAAAGTAACAAAGTAATGAGCTTAAGATAATGCTAAAAAAATAAAGAAGGTCCTTGACAAACCCAGGTCCAGGTGTTACCTTACCATCAACCCTTCTGTACCCTGATAAGGAAAGTGAGGGAAGGGTTGGAGCAAGAATTTAGCATTCCTTTATAAAGAATCTGTGCACTATCTGCCTATCTGAAGCTTCTTTCTAAAGGTCCATGCTTCATACCTGTGTGGGGGATAAAAGGGCAGAAAGGGGAGATGGCCTTCTCTCTACTGCTATTCATTTCTGCCTGCTCTCTGGTGTCCCTGGGTTTCCTCTAGCTTCTACTGGTCTTGATATGGGTGCTTACTTCTTCCCCTTAGCACACACAAGACAAAGTTTGGTTTTTTTCTGATTTTTTCAAGAGGACTTTATTAGCAATGAAAAGAAAGACTCATGCAAAAAAAAAAGTTCATAGAGCATGGAAGTGTTGAGTTAGAGAGCTCAGGAATCTCATTTTAAAATATGCCTAATCCAAACCTCTTGGGTGGTACAGCTGCCAGGGCTGTCTGGTCTCTCCTCTTCTCATCTGGGCCTGGCTCCATCCCATGACCAGATGCCATGCTCCCTCATAGAGTGACCAAACATGAGTGTCTCCCCCAGCACCTAACCCCAACTCAGCCTTCTTTTCCATGTCAAAGTTGGTGCTCCCTTTTCCAGCCCTGCCCCCTTTCCATCTCAGTTCATTTGCAAAGCTGAGTAACAGACTCATCCCAGGACTAATAAACAATGGATATCTTTTCCTGACCCAACTGCTGGCTTTACTGACCAAGGTATGTTCAGATTGATGAGTTTTTTCTCCTCCTCACTTTCTTTGGAACTTTCTTCCCTTCTTTCCCCTAGTCTCAGAAGTATCTTTCTCTAAAGCTCAATGGAACACATTTTTATAAATTCACAAGCATCTTAATGGCGCAAGGAGAAGCAAGAACACATCATCTTTGTTCTGTTTTTTTTTTTTTTTTGTTTGTTTGTTTTTTTGGCTAGGCAATGAGGTTAAGTAATTTGCCCAGGGTCACACAGCTAGTAAGTGTTATGTGTCTGAGGCCGGATTTGAATTCGGTTCTTCCTGAATCCAGGGCCGGTGCTCTATCCACTGAGCCACCTGGCTGCCCCAAGAACACATCGTCTTTACTAATGGGAAGGGAAAAATAATTTCATTACATCATGCATGGCTCTCAAGTGCAGGAAGTGAATTTGAAGTACTGTCCTGGTCAAAGCTGATTCCCCCACGGTTTAGTAGTGGTGAAGAATCTGGAAATTAAGTCATAGAAGCAAGGATTGAAGGAGTTGGGAATGTTTGGGAGAAGACAAGACTTAATGGGGATGTGGTCATTGCCTTCAAGGATTTGGAGGACCATCATACAGAGAAGGGATGGGGCTGATTCTTTGTGAATCTCCAAGTAGGTCTCCCATCCCTTTGTTCCCCAGCTGCTTGTGTCTTCTCTGATCCCTCTCCCCCCCAAGATTACATTTTCATTTTGTATATTTTATTATTTCATATGTTTTTTTTTTTAACATAGTGGATAGAGAACTAGTCTTGAAGCCAGGAGGATCTCAGTGCAATTCCCACCTCTGACACATAATGGCTTGGAAACCCTGGACAAGTTATTTAACCTCTTAGTGCTTTCTAGGAACTCTCTAAGAGTATAAGTTTCAAAGGAAGTGCACACTTGCATTGTTAGAGGGAGTTCATTCATCTAGGAATTTCCTATACCAAGGACATAACAGGCCTGATCCCTGACCTTTTCATTGCTATATTTTGTACACACTTATAAAAGTATATGTTGTCTCTCCATTATAATTTTAAGCTCCTTAAGAATAGGGATTGCTTCATTTTTGTATCCTCACATTGATCAAGAAACATTTCAAAGTGTCCTATGTGTCAGGCATTGTGTTAGGCAATGGGGATACTAAGATAAAAAATGATAAAAAACCTACCCTCTAGAAGCTCATATTCTATGGAGGAGGGAATACATATACATGTAAAAGTATACATGCAGAGTAAATATAAGGAGAAATACAAATTAGTATAAAGTAGCTACATATAATGTGGTTAGGAGGGAGGGCATTGGCAGTTTGGGGGATCAGGAAAGGCTTCATGTAGAAGTTGTTCTTTGAGCTGTGTCTCAAAGGTAGGGATTCTATGAGGCAGAGAGGAGGAATGGTCAACAGGGGATGGTCAGTGCAAAGGTGCAGATGGGAGATAGAGTTTCATGTGTGAAGAGCAGAGAGAAGCCTAGTTCTTTAGACCATAGGGTGTGGGGTGGTGATTAATGTCCAGTGAAACTAGAAAGATAGGGTGAGGTTAAGTTGTGAAGCCAAACAGAGGAGCTGATATTTTATCCTAAAGAGAATTGGGAGCCACTAGAGTTTACCAAGTAGGGTAGTGACACCTTTAGATCTATGCTTACTTTTGTTTAAGGAGAATCACTTTGGCATCTGTATGGAATTTGAGTGAGGAGAGAGAAACTGAGGCAAGGAGACCAATTAGGAGGACAATGGAGTTATCTGCATGAGAAGCGATGAGAACTTAAACAAAGGTACTGACGTCATGATAGAGAGAAAGGATAGGATATGAACCATGTAGAGTTAGAAATTATAAGATTTGGCAACTTATTGGATATGTGAGGTAAGGGGGGGGTGAAGAGTCAGGGGTGGGACTGAGGTTAGCCAAGGAAGCCAAGAAACTGGAATAATGATGGTGCCCTTGGCAGAAATAGGTGAGATTGGCAGAAGGGTGGGTTTGGGAGTGGGAAGAAGATGTTTGCCTATGTTGAGTTTGAGGTGTCTCTGGGACATCCAGTGTCAACAGGCAGTTGGTAATGTGAGACTGAAGCAAAGGAGAATCTGGGGCTAGAGATGACCTGTGAGTCATCTGCACAGAGATAATTAAACCCATGGGAGCTGCTGAGATCACCTAGAGAGAGTGGGGACATTGATTGATATATCAACCCTCCTGGCTGCATGTAGATTCTGTTGTACAGATCTGATAGGACATGGAGGGGACTTTAATTTCCTTCCTATGTACACACACACACACACACACACACACACATACACACACACACACATTTGTCATCAACCTAGGCCAAGATTTAGCAATGACATTCCTGATTATGGGAACTTAGAGATCATTTAGCCATAGTATCATAGGATTTAGAAATTAAGGGGGTATTAGAGGTGAGCTGGAGATTATCCAGAGGGCATTCTAGAAATTTCTCTTTTCTCTAAGCCCCCCTATACCAATTCAATAAACTCCAATGTCAGACCTCTAGCTGGTGAAAGGGTTTAGTTCATGTCACTTGAGGATTATTTGATGGAACTGGGGACTTTTAGTCTGGAAAAGAGAAGACATGGGGACCAATTGGGAGTGATGGGGCATGGTGTTGTTGTTTAGTTGATTAGTTGTGTCTGACTCTTCATGACCCCATTTGAGGTTTTCTTGTAAAAGTTATCAGAGTGGTTTGCCATTTCTTTCTCCAGCTCATTTTATAGATTAGGAAACAGGGCCAAGTGACCAGCCCAGGGTCACATAGCTAATAAGTGCCTGAGGCTGGATTTGAACTCAGGTCCTCCTGACTCTAGGGCCAACACTCTATCTACTACACTACCTAGCTGTCCCTTGGGGCATGACAAGTGCCTTCAAATATCTGATGGATTGTTATATAGAAGAGGGATTGCAAGCTGCCTCCAGAGTGTAGAACTTAGAGTAATGGGGTGGAAAGCTGCAAAGAGGTAACACATTAGATTTGATGTAAGGAAAAGCTTTACAATGATTAGAGCTCTTCCAAAGTGAAACAGGACACTCTAGTAAGTCATCAGCTCAAAGGCTGGTCAATCACTCATTAGCTGATTATAGAGGAACTCCTTTTCTCAGGAGTGGGTCAGACTAGGCAACCTTTGAGATCCCTTGATTTCAGGATACATCTCTGTCCTCCCACCAAGAATCTTCAACACATGAAAATTCTGGGTATTCAGGGCTTCAGACAAAATTTTGATGTTGTGGTTGTTATTATATGTAATTATTATTATTATTTTTTGGCATAGTGTAGGAGTCCTGGGCTTGGTGACAAAAACCTTGAATTTGGTGCACACCTTGGACATTTACTTACATGTGAGCTCTGGCCAAGCAATGACCTTCTGTGAGCCTCAATTTCCTCCTATAAAATGGAGAGAGCTACACTTGTACTACTTCAGACATATTACCATAAATTCAATCCAGTAAGAATTTATTCAGTGCCTACTATGTGCCATGCACTGAAGAGAAAAAGACAAAAGTGAAACCATCTCTGTCCTCATGAAGCTTACATTCTACTGGAAAAGCACTTTGGAAACTGTAAAACTAGAGCCTGTCAATAGAAATGTGAGCTCTTATCATTATGATTTTTGTATTTTTCTCTACTGAGTGGCAGGGTGATATAATGGATAGAGACCCAACTTCAGAGTCAGGAAAACCTGGGTCCAAGTTCCATTTCTGACACATATTGGTTGTGTGACTGTGGGCAAGTTACTCCATCTGACTATGTCACCACACCTCCCCCTCCCCACTTTAACAAACTCCACGGCTCCCTATCACCTCCAGGATCAAATATAAAATTCTATTTGATGTTCTGAGCCCTTCACAACCTGGCCCCTTCCTCCTGTCCCAGTCTGCTTTCACCTTACTCCTCTCCACGTCCTCTCTGTTGAATTGAAGGTGGCCTCTTCGCTGTTCCTCAAACATGACGCTCCATCTCCTAACTCTGGGCATTTTCAGTGACTATTCCCTATGCCCAGAATTCTCTCCCTCCTCATTTCTGCCTCTTTCCAGGCTTAACCCTGGATTCCTTCAAGTTTTAGTTAAAATCCCACTTTCTACATGAGCCTTTCCTGATCCCCTTCAACACCAGTGCCTGCCCTCTGCTGACGACCTCCAATCTATCCTGTATGCATTTTGTTTGTAGATGGTTGTTTGCATGTTGTCTCTCCCATTACACTGTGATCTTGAAAACAGAGACTGGTCCTCTTCACTTAGCATTGTGCCTAGCACAGAGTAGGCTCTTATTAAATGCTTATTGACTTGACTTGTTGACTTTCAGTTCTGAAATTCTATGATTCTATGAGATCGTTTATGAGAAAACTGAGGCACAGGAAGGATAAATAGCTTGCCTATGGCAGCAAATGTAACCAGCCAGGACTAAAACCCAGATTGTAGATTCACTAAATTTTAGCATTCTAAGCAGCCATTTGGGGCTGCTAGGTGGCACAGTGGATAGAGCGCTAGGCCTGGAGTCAGGAAAACCAGCCTCAGACACTTTTTAGCTGTATGACCCTGGGCAAGTCTCTTAACCCTATTCACCTCAGTTTCTTCATCTGTAAAATGAGCTGGAGAAGGAAATGGCAAACCGCTTCAGTAGCTTTGCCAAGAATACCCCAAAGGGGGTCATGAAGAATTGGTCAGGACTGAAAAATGACCGAACAACAACAAGGAGCCAGAGGGGTCAAGTTGCTGTACAACCTCTTACCTCTTGCAGGAAGCCTTTTGAATTTATCATTCAAGGCTTGTACTTAGTTATCTATCTTCTGATTGAATAGCTGCAGGGATGGAGAATTCTTTCCTCAGAAGGCAGCACATTCCATTATTAGGCAGATTGATTTCTTAGAAAAGTTCTTCCTTGTGTGCTGAGATGAAAGGTGTCACATAGAATAAATTGAATCTTTCATCCTCATGATAGCCCTTCAAGCATATGAAGACAGCTAGCATGTCCCCTCAAATCTTCTCTTCTTCGTGCTAAGCAGCCCTTGTTCCTTCAATTGTGTGATATGATTCTCATATCTTTCTCGTCTGGACACACTGTCTTTTGTCAGCGTGTGATGCTTCATGGTGCTCAGGATGTGGTCTAACCAGGACAGAGTACAGTGGGACCGTCACCTTCCCTGATCCAGACGCTAGTCTTTTCTTCCCTTCCTCATAGCAGGCAACTGTTGCATATTTATTGAATTGAATAGAATGGAATACAATTCCCATAGCCCAAGATCCCATTGTTTTGTTGTTTTGGCAGTCATCACATACTATTGACTCATATTGAATTTGTGGTCCACAAAAACCTCTAGGTCTTTTTCATGCACCTGTTGCTTTCATCTTGTACTTTTTATTTTATGGACTCAAATATAGAATTTTATATTTGCTTCTATTCAGTTTCATAGTATTGGACCCAGCCCATTGTTCCAGACTTTTTTGGATGTTTTTTAATGCTATAGGAATGTGAGTAGTTATTGTTATTATTGTTATAATATTCTGATTCTATCATCTGTGCATCTATCCACATTATAGATGATGATGTTGAAGACTGTTATTCCCAAATTTTCTGTTAGCCAAACACCCCCAGGTCTTTCAATTAATCTGTCACATTCTTTCGGGATTTCCTCAGTTCTGATTACTTTCAGCTAGACAGATGCCAGATTATAAATGACAGTTCTTAAAGTGTGACTCCCAGAGGTCAAGGTGCCACTTACAGAGGAAATACCCGCTGCCCTCTCCCACTGGCACTGGATGCTCTCCCAGAGACAGTTGGAACTTTGATGTTACTCAGACAGGCTGAGGTCTCCAAGTGGCCACTGCTTGCATCTCTGGTAGACCTAGACCCAAAGATGAAGGGTCTCTGGGCCATGGCACTCCTATGCCTGCTCCCCTGCCAGGCAGGAGTTGTTCTGATTGCAGGGGATGGCCTGTGGCAGGCTAGCCAAACTTGGCCCATTTGCCCCTTTCAGTTTCCATCTCCGGAATGGGACACGGTTACCCCAGAAGCAAAGGACCTGATTAATAAAATGCTCACCATAAACCCCTCCAAGCGCATCACAGCTGCTGAAGCCCTCAAGCACCCCTGGATCTCTGTGAGTAATACCGGGAGTGGGGTTTGGGCCGTTGGTGTTGGGGTGTGGTTTGAGGGCTTCAGATCACATGGCCAAGGGTGGTTTGCTTCTCAAGGGACCAAAGAACATTCAACATGTTCACTGTCCATGAGTCTGAGTGTTTAGGAAACTATATGACTTTCCTTGGCAAACAAGGCCCCCTGCCCCTGTTCCAGAAAAGACTTGTTAGGAGGAACGAATTGGAAATAATAGCTAATGACGATAGCTAACATTCATATAGCATTTACTATGTACTGGGCACTGGCAGAGTGCTTTACAATTATTACATCATTTGATCCTCTTAACCCCGGGAGGTAGGTGGTATTATTATCCCTATTTGACAGCTGAGGAAACTGAGGCAAACAGAGGTTAAGTGACTTGTTCAGGGTCCCACAGCTAGTAAGTGTCTGAGGCAGGATTTGAACTCAGGTCTTCTTGACTCCAAACCCGGTGCTCTATCCACGTGGTACTGGAAAGAGCGGTGGGTTTGATGTTTAGAGACCTGAGTTCAACTTCTGGGTCTAGCATTTTCTGGCTGTGTGACTGTAGGCAGATTACTTAATCTTTTTGAAGCCTGGTTTCCTTTTCTATAAATAGGCATAATAATCTGTGCATTGCTTGCATGATAGGGTTGTTGTGAGGAAAATGCTTTGTAAACTATAAAACATTATAGAAATATGAGCCAATGTAAAAAAAAATGTGAGATGCCCCTCCTTCCCACTCCGCATGTAGCTTCATCTTTCCTAGTGCTTCCTTCCCACGAAGATTTCTTTTAAATTAAATCTTATAATTTAGTGAGCTTCCATCAATAGGGATTTACTACTGGTCAGTTTTTGATAGGCTTTGCCCTTGCAACATCACATCTTTGCTCTTATTTGCATGTTTTAAAAGGGGAAGCATCCCCCACCCCCGCCCCCCAAGTTTGGAAACTGAAACTGTCCCTTAGATTCCACACAGCCCCCTCCTTCCTGCTCATGTCCCTTTCCCTCTCTTCTTTCGCCAGCACCGATCTACAGTGGCCTCCTGCATGCACAGACAGGAGACCGTGGACTGCTTGAAGAAATTCAATGCAAGGAGGAAACTGAAGGTAACCCCTTGGCCTGGTGCCCTCTCTGGGACTGCTGGACTCTCGACTGGTCCACATTTCTGCCAGGGGGAATAGTGAATAAGACTGGGTGGGAGCCTCCTGGGGAACTGGGAGATTCTCAGGCCTTACCTAGGCCATAAGCAACAATGGACCACATTCAAGAAAGTTAGAGGAAACGTGGTGTCAGGTAGTGAGTGCCTGGCTAGCTGTGGTTATTCACTGTGAGGAAGCTCATCTCTTCCCCCCCCCCACCTCCCCAATGGGAAGCAGGGCAGACATATAGGTGCCACTCTGGGAAAGTCAAAATAGCTTTAGACTTGGAGTCTTGGAGTAGTGGGACTTAGAGTCTGGAAGTCAAAGGTTCAAATCCTGCCTTATGCACTGACAAGCTCTGTGACTGAGTAATTCATTTAACCTCTCTGGGCCTCAGCTTCCCCATCTAGAAAATGAAGGCATTTGACTAGATGAACTTTGAAGTCTCTCTTAACTTTAAATCTAGGATCTTGTAATTACTTGACCATGGGCAAGTCACTCGTCTCATCTGAAAAGTGGGGAAAATGATACTATCCTAGGATTACAATGAGGAAAGTTGCACTTATGAGTTATTAAATTATAAAATGCTGTAGAAATGGGCTGTCATTTTATAGTATCATCATTATTGAGAGGCGGCATACTCAGAAAGACCTGAGTTCAAGTACTGACTTTGATATAAACAGGTTAATCTTCCAGTGTCCCAGGAAATTCTCTAAGACTATAAGGTGCAAAACAGGTGCCAGTTTAAATCTGTAAAGAGACTTTCTTCACTTGGAATTCTCTATACTGATGAAATCATGAGTCTGGACCAAAAAATTATTCTTATTATCCATATAGTTCAGAACAGCTCCTGAATACCCTGCGCCCCTTAGTGTGCATGGGCTGTGCAGGAACAGGAGTTAAGGGTGCTTCCTATCCAGCTAAATGGGTCTATGAGCCCCCAGGATTACATGGAGCTGAGGCATGATTTATTTTAGATGTGCTGAGCTCACTGTTAATCTCCTTCTCTGCCAGTGTGCATTGTTCCCAAAAGCCTCCCATCCTCCCATAATGGGAGGGGGGCCTGGGGCAGAAGGGAAGAATACATTTATTAAGGGATGTTGGTACCAAAAGGGCTGGTGAAATCCCAGGAGGAGATCTGGACCAAGGTGATTCCCACCTGACTTCAGGATTTTTGAGCCCCAAAGGGAGCTTAAAAATTGAAACAGAAGCCAGAAACTTCTATCATATAAAATGATATCAGAACTGGAGGGGGCCTTAGAAATCATTTATTCCATTCCTTCTGTTTTACAGATGTGGAATTTGAGGAGATGGAGAACATTTCTGAAGGCTTGGAATTCCTTAATGGGATAGTAGGCTGGCTTGAGAGAGAGTACTGAATGCTCTCAAGGGGCAAGGATAACTCAAGTTCAAGGCAGGGGTAGAAAGAGGAAGGAGGGTCCAGAAAGTGACCGCCTATCTGACTCAGGCAGGAGATTTACATGGCCTTTTGGAGACCTAGTTGGCAGACCTCCTGGAGTCTAGCCAGCAACCCTGGCTCAGGCTGGAGCTGCCTATTAATACTCTTGTCCAACGCAATCTTGTCCCTGGAGTTGTGCCCACCTAACACCCTTCCCAGCCAATCACTTTTTCTTTGGGAGTGCTGAGGACAGATGGACAAAGGGATGGGGGAGAATGGGAGGCTTGGTCTCTGAATACAACAATCTCTCCCTCTACCCACTCTTCACATTTTCTTATCCCTCCCTCCTTCCCCTTTTCTTCCCTGGTCTCTCTTCCCACCCTCACCCCTCTTGCCGTTCTATTTTTGTCTGTTTCAGGGAGCTATCCTTACCACCATGCTGGCCACCAGGAACTTCTCTGGTAGGTGGTGGGACCCTTTGGTCATCAGGATCTGACATATACAACTCAGCATTGGGATTGCAGGGTTCCATATCCATGGTGCTCTAAGAATGCAGGAGAGTTCAAGGGTGAAACATTCCTGCTCCCCCTGCCCAGGAAGTACAGGGAATTTATTCTCTGGCCCCCACCCACTGCCATCACTGCCTGCTCAGCATACACATACACCGAGGCAGCCAGTCCTTCGCTAAGACTTGGGGTGACAGCTGAGGGGTGGGTGGAGGGGGAAGAGGAACATGAGGTGCTGACCAAGTACTGAAAAATTCCAATGGACTTGACAGATATGTCTCTAAACAAGCTGCCCCATTGGCTGCAGCTACAGATTTGTATTTGGGGAGGGATGACCTGGGCTCAGATTCTAACTCTGACAATTAGTGGTATGACCCTGGGCAAGTCATTTAAACCTCTGAGAGCCTCACTTTCCTCATCTGCAAAATGGAGATAATAATACTTACAAAGTTGTCATGAAGAAAGTACTGAGAGCCTGAAGGACTCTAGGAATGTTAAATATTCTTTTGATCATTCCTTTCTGTGCCATTTGTGAGAATGGTGCCTGGGCTGGGCATAGAGGCAGCGGCAGCCCCAGTATTAGAGGCAACCTCACAGAGGGAGGCTGGCAAAGCCTCGATTAGTGCTTTCCCCAGTTCCAGTAGAGGATGACCAGGAGGGTAGAAATGGGTGGTGAGAGATGCCTGCAGATGCAGCAGGGGCTTCCTGTGAGGGGTGTGTGAGAAGCATCCAAATGCTGCATAGCAGTTATCTATAGTAGTTACCAGGTAGCATTGAAAGGGAAGGGATGGAAAGTTGAATTTACCAAGTGACCCTTGTCTGAGAGCACACGAGTGAGTGACAGCGCTGCCAGAATCTGGCTGCTGATACTAGGAGTTGGAGAGGACTGACAGGGCAGCTGAATGGAGCTGACAAAGTTCACATCAAAGTAGGAGAAGGGGTTTTTGGAGTGATTCTGCATCACAGTATGAGCTCAGCTCCCTTTCCTGGTCCCACCTATCCCCAGCCAAGGGGACTGAAGGTTCATCCTATTTCCCTACTCCCAGAAAGCATGGAATCTTATCCACCATAGGCAGCAGCTGGAGGCCCGCTTGGTAGGAAAACCACTGTTAGGCTCAACAGACCTAGCCAAACACTGTCTTGTCTTTGCATAGCATAGATATGGTATGCTGCCAATTAGAGATGGGCATAATGCTTATCTCCAGCAAGCTAGGCCGTGTGGCACAGGGGAAAAAGTCCTGGATTCAGAGTCAGAGGATGTGGGGTCACATCCTTGCTCCTCCACTCATACCCAGGTGTCCTTGGCCAATTTATCTAACCTCTTTGGCCTTGACCTTTCTCATCTTTAAGATGAAGGCGTTGGAACAAGATGACCTCTAAGGTCCCTCCCAGCTCTAAATCTCTGACTCTGTGAATCTATGATCTTTTCCAGCACTAAATATACGGTTTTATTATCTGTTCACATACTGTTTGCTCAGCCTGGAAGCCAAGATGTACTACCTTCCAGAGTTTCCCTTATATTCTCTGTCTTCTCCAGGCTGGTACCTAGAGAACTCCTTGTAAGCTCCTTAACCATGCATAAAGAAATTAACATCTTAGCCTAGAGACCCTAAGCAGGGCTTTAAGGCCCAGGAAAATGGTTAGGAAATACCTTCCCTACTTAAGAAGACTGTATTTGTATCTCCCAAGAGAGACTAAGAAAGTAAGATACTGAGATAACCAGGACAATGGCAAAAAGACAAGACGCTAGGGGAAGCTAGGTGGTGCAGTGGATAGAGTACCAGCCCTGAAGTCAGGAGGACCTGAGTTCAAATCTGACCTCAGACACATAACACTCACTAGCTGTGTGACTTTGGGCAAGTCATTTAACCCCAATTGCCTCACAAAAAAAAGAGAATATTAAAAAAAAAAAGACAAGATGTTGAGCTGTATAGTGGAAAGAGATGGTAATCCAGGGATCTCTTCCTCCCTATGCCACTTAATAAATATTTGACATTAGTCAAGTCACTTTCTCTCACTGAGCCTCATTTTCTTTATCCATACAATGGGTGTAATAGTCCCTGCCCTGCTTATATTACAGAGCTGTGTGGACTAAGTAGGATAATGAATATGAGGGTTTTGGGAACTTCAGAGTGCAATACCAACATGAGGAATGAATTGGTGCCCCTTGTTCCAGCCTCCAAGGCATCATGGGTATGCAATTAAAAAAAGGTCTCAGAGGGTCCCAGGAGCAGGAACCTTATGGAGTTCTTAGGTATCAGAGAGCCTCTGAGCTGGGACAGTGAGCACAGATTACCCACAGGTTAGGGGAGCCAGTGGGCAAGGTCTAGTGTGTTATAGTTAAACCTGCAGCAGCTACTGTAGGTAGGCCTTGGGGTACGGTTGAGTGTTGGCCAAGGGAGGTAGAGAGAAGACATTCACCCTGCTAGGCTCACCATGTTTCCTTAAAGCAGTTTTGGGGAGTCAGGGTTAAACTCCTGACTGCTTTGGGCCCCTTCTCCTTCTGACTCTCCCCTCTCTGGTGCCCGGGATTCTCAGAGAAAGGTTCAGTCAGAATGTCAGGATGGGATGAGTATTCTGGGGTATTTTCTGGCTGGTATCCAAACATAAGCACTCCATTCAGGAGTGTGTGTGTGTGTGTGTGTCTGTGTCTGTGTGTGTGTGTGTGTCTGTGTGTGTGTGTGTGTGTGTGTGTGTGTAAGAGATGACAGAAAGGCAGAGGCCTCTGGGAATTTTCACTGGAACAGGAGTCCCAGGGCAGCTGTTAATCTCCTTTCCGGCTGATGCCTGGGGAACCATCACCCACCCTGGGCATATTTTCCAGAGTTGAGCGTCTAGGGAGGGGCTACTATAGCTAGAAGGCACCAGTCTGGCCCTGGGAGGGGGGCCTGGGCTAGGGCCTCAACAGTGGGTGGGCATCTGCTTCTTCTCATTGCCAAAATGGGGCCTGCAGCTGTCTAGTGAGGAGGATCGGGTGACACATGACCAAGGCAGCATGGGGCTAAAATTAGAGACGGGGCAGAGGCAGGGAGAGAGTACAAACCACCACTGTCCCAGGAGTTTGAGACTCTGGGATTAGCTTTCGGACTGAATGGGGCTCAGAGGAAATCCCCCAAGGCGGACCAGGGACCCCTGTGGCAGTGTGGTGGCCAGGACCCTGGGGGGAGGAGTTCTCTTTCTTTGAAGTGCCTGAGCATCCGGGCGGCCCACAGAGAGGGGAAACTCCCCCTTCCCCCAGGGGGCCAACGCTGGTGCTGGGGAAAGGAGGAAGAAGAGGAAGAGGAGGGTTCTGGATCCGGCCTGCCCTGTGTCCCTCTCCCCTAGCCTCTCACCCCCTGCCTTCCTGCTCTCTGATGCTGCTCCTGCTCACGCTATGGGCCCTGGTGCCCTGCCTTGTGCTTTTAACTCTCTACTTTGTCTCCATCACAGGAGGGAAGAGCGGGGGCAACAAGAAGAATGATGGTGTGAAGGTAAGCTCCCCTTGGTGCCTGAAAGGGCCTCAGGTGTGGTGGAAAAGAGCACAAGATTTGGAGCCAGAGGGGACCTGGGTTCGAATCCCAACTGTTGCATACTACCTAAGACACCGGGCAGTTTACTCATTTTCTCTGGCCTTCAATTCCCTCATCTATAAAATGAGGGGGATGGAGTAAATGGTTTTTATTTTTAAGGTTACTACCAATTCTGAATCTATGGTGCTATGATAATAGAGTTCACACTCTGTGCGTGTGTGAGTGTGTGTGAGTGTGTCGAGGAGGGGGTGGGACTCCAACCACTCTGGGTATCCTACCACATTTGTAAGGCTGATCATCTGGGACAGTGCCAATGTTGGGGGCATCCTGACTGTTGGTGAGAATCAAGTCACATGGATAGTCTATTAAGAAATGGGTACCTTGGGATAATGGCCTCTCTTCTTCCTCATCTCCCAGTCTCTCCTTCCCCATTTCATCAGTGGGTGCTCTCTCTCCTTCTGTGAGGGCATGGGGATGGTTGGGAACAGAAGTCAGGGAGACATTAGGAGAAAAGGGGGCAAAGGCAAGTTTGAACATGGGGAAAAAGGATAGGTCAAGAATAAAAAAGAAAGGGTTCAAACCTCCCCAGTGACCCAGAGTGATGGAAAACAAGTGGGTGAGTGAGTGCTCATGAATTTAGAAGGATAATAGAAAGTCCCCCATAGAAACTTGTAGGTGTCCATGAGCCTTGGTCACTGGGAGCCTTGGTTACATATATTAGGGTGAACATGGAGGCTTTGGCCTCCATACGTTGCCCCAAATTCCACTGAAGTAGCTAATGATGTCCTTCCATTTCCCTTAGGGCTATTTGGCAGGAATAAGTCTCTGGCCCCCCTGAGTAAGGACTCATCAGGAATGTAGCATATCCAGGACCCAAAAGGGCTATAAAGGTCCTTTCTGGTTTTTTTGCAAAGACATATTCGGTGGTCTATTGGGGATGCTACCTGATCAATGATTATATCCCCTACCTGTCATATCTCCCCTGAATAGTTCCAAGGCCCAAGGGAACCAAACTGAAGAATATCTGTCCCCTCCCCAAGAGAAAGAGGGCTTGACCTTCTGTCTCAGAAAAATGGACATAAATTGCCTTTCTCCTCCACCCTTACCCTCATACCATGCTGGTGACCAGTCACCCAATGACACTTCCTTATCTTCACTTATTCCCTTTTCTCTACTATCCTTTCCCTCTTCTCTCTGATGAATGGTGCTTGTGCCTCTAGGAAACATACTGGTTCCACTCTGCCCTTGGCTCTCTTCCTCTACAAGGTTACTGTTCCTGGATGGGCCTTGTCATCCTACCACACTTAGCTCCCCCAGCACATGAGCTCTATGCCATGATGGGATGTTAAAGTGAGTGACAGTGGGATTTTGGGAAGTCTGTAATAATCCAAACTAAGTGGATTAGTCTGTCATGCTTCTAGTGCTTCTAGTGTTAGATTGCTGGCCTTTCTGGGTTATCCAGCTGACTCTCCCAGTCATTGTTCAGAGGTAGTACCAAAAACCCAGATTAACTTTATTATTCACCTGAGTCAAACCTAATTAATAAGATGAAAAAAGCCCCTTCCTCCAACACACACAAACAAATATATACACACACACACACACACACACACACACACACACACATATCACACATATATACTGTACTCTAGAGTCAATTAGAGATGACTCTGGATGATTTTATATTTTCCCAGCCATGGCTTATCATTGTTTACTTGGAAAATTGAGAGTTGCCTAGGTTGAGATACCCACATGGTAGGGGTTACTGACTTTGGATGCATGGTGGCCCTCCTTGGTTGCTGGTGTCTTTTCTGCTGAGCTGGGGTGATAGGCCTCCTGGGAAAAAGCCTAGTGTTGAGGTGGCCTTGAGCTGGAATTGTTGGCCAAGACTAAATTCCCTAGTATTCTGTATCCTGAGGGTAGGGAGATAGGACAGAAAGTTCTAATAGGGTTTGGTGGGCTTTGCTGCAGGTTCTGAGGAGTTGCTTTAGGGATTGAAGGAAGGGGCGGCCCAGGCTCCTTCATGGTCAGTTGGGTTGTAAGTCCTGTGCTGTTGGGACAAAGATGCTTCAGTTTGAGGAATGAGAAGGAATTCTGCTGGGTGGGTGGGGCAGTGATTCATCCCCAGGACCACCCCCACCAAATCTCAGGCATGGACTGAACCCCTGAGGGCTGAGGCCACAACGTGGCTTTTGCAAATTGACTTTGAAGTTGGATCCTCTGTATGTGAGGCCAGAGAGATGTAGAAGCAAGAGACAAAGGAGCCTCAGTGCTGGAGAGGCAATAGTTGGACCCAGACTCTGAGTCTGCCATCTGTGGGCAGCAGAGCTGGCATTGCCCACATGGACCAAAATACCACCCATTTCCCCTGCCCCACAGCAGACCCTAAGGAGACCATTTATGTCTCCTAGACTGGCAGGGAGGCAGAAGAGGGCCAACATCCTGGGGTGCCTGTATTGCTTTTAGTCAGGGGAAGGCCTGGCTGGGACAACCTTAGGAGATCCCCCCCTGATGCTGTCTCACCACCCTGTCCTCTTTTCCGGCAGCCTCAGGAGGGAGGCAGGAATGGGGTGGGGGAGGGACACAAGCTCTGACCAGGAATGCCCAGGGAGCTATTGCCAGTCATTGGAATCCTCAGGATGAATGAGCCTAGCCTTCCCTTCCTTGAATGAGAATCTCTGATGAAAACCATTTCCTGAATAAGAAGGAGTCAGGTTTTAGAGAGCCAGCATGTGCTGGCTTTTATTTGTTGATAGACAGATCTCCAAAGGGTGATATACTGGATTTGGCACATTAGGGAGAAACAGTCATCCTCTTCCTGTCTCTTCCCCTTCCATCCGCATCAATGAGGCAACCTCTAGGGGACATGCAGGAAACCTCTTTTCTCTACACCCTGTGCTCATCTAGGCAGGGGGACTGAGTCCCCTGATTCTTGCCCACCCCAGCCCCCAGATCCTCCTTCTTGCGTATATAATGGTGAGGGAGGGGGGAAATGAGGCCCCTCTCCTGTCCACCCCCACCCCTTCTGCCTCCCAGGGGCTACCAAAGCCATTCACTGCCCCAACATGTGGTGTCCCATCCTGTCCTGTTGTGATAAGTGCGCTCACTCCCTACCCCCGCCCGCCGTGTCCCATCCTGTTACTGTGCGTCCAGAACCTAGTACAGTCGCTGCTCTGTGTTTGCATCATGTTTTTCCGTCTGAAACGTCTGCCCCACGTGACAGACCTGAGTGAGTAGGGCCGAGTCTCTCAGCCCCCTGTCTTTTTGGGTTACAGCTGAAGACAGAACAGCCACTGGACTCCAACCCCTGCCAGAGGCCTTCGGGCTCCCACTATACACTGGCTCGCATCATGGCGTGGAGGCCATTTAGGGGGCCATGCCCATGGAAGGGGAGACTGGGCCAGAAAGGCTCTTGGTGAAGGGGCAGGCAGGCGTAGGCGACTAGACTTACTTCAAAGGGGAGTGCTACCCAGATCCTTGGAGAAGAAGGCTGTGGTGGCCGTGGAGGGGGTTAGAGCCTAACAATGGGGCTCTTGAATGCGGCTTCTGAGCCCTTACTCACCCCACCAGGATGGTAGCCGTCCATGAGTCATCAGTGAGCTTTGGCATTATGACATTGTGGCTCACTGGTGTCCCTGTTTAGCTTTTCGAGACAGCTCAGTCCCATCTCACCCAGACACACAGGGACTTTGTCTGTACCTGGATTTCTGATTTAAGAGTCAGAGAAAGAGAAAATCACTTGGAGCAGTGCTTTCTCTTCCTCCATCTTCCTACCTTACTTCCTTTTCCTCCCACCCCACTTCTCTTCTCCTTCCTCTTCCCCTCCCAATTCAGTGTTGATATTGGGAAAGAAAAAAGCCTGGATGCTTAAGAGAAATGGAATAGTCTAATGGTCAGAGCCAAATTTGAATCTTGGCTATATAGAGCAGTCATTGTATGACCTTGGGCAAGTCATTTAACTCTTCTAGGTTTCATTGTCTCTATCTGTAAAATAGGGTTTTCCTCTGCTCTTTGCAGATTTGTAAGGTGTCAGGAAGAAAAGTGATGGAAATCAAACTTGATTTAGAATTAGTGCTAGATGGAAGAGTGCTATATAGAGGCACTTAACAGCTGTTCTCAGATACTTTGGAGCTGTCTTTGTCACTGGTATCTGAACCAGTTTACTCCAATCTTCTGAGACTCCACTGAGGCCTGTCCTGCATTTGTTTCTGGAAGGCTGAGCCCTGACAATACTAGCAGCTGAGGGTCCTTTCTGATAAGCCCCAGGTCAGAGAGCACCACTTCTCAACTTTTAGAGTCTAATTCCCATTTGAAAGCCAATTAATTGTGGCAGACTCGACCTGGCTGCTGGGGGGTGACTGGCATCCAGGGCGCCATTCCCCCTCTCTCAACCAAGCTTGGCATGGTGGATTGCTCTAGTTCAGGAGGGATTCTGGGCTGGGATTTGGAGAATTTGAAGGGTAAGGCCCAGGCAGAGTTAGGAGGATTTGAATGACAGGGCCCAACAGAGTTAGGCGGGGCCTCAGATTTGGCTGGTCCTCAGAGTTATGGTAAGTGGGGGAAGTGTCCCTAGGGTCATGGGCGTGCCACACCTTGGGCACTACCCTCTGTCTCTGAGTGCCAGCTTTCAACACCTTGGAAGTACTGCTAAGACTGGCCCAGGGGCCACTGCTTCCTCCCTCCCCCACTCTACTTCCCTCTCCCCACTACTTTCTACCGTTTTGCCACTGCGTCTCTTCCTGTCCCATCTCTTCTCCTTGTTTTTCCAGAAAAGAAAGTCCAGTTCCAGTGTTCAGTTAATGGTGAGTGTCTGCCGTCTTCCCAAATGCTGGTAATGCTGGGCCTCAGCGCACTCCCGCCTTGCTCCTAGAGGTCACACTGGGAATGTGGGGTGGGAAGAGGGGGCCAAGGGCGTGTGTGGTATGTGTGTGTTGTGTGGCAAACATGTATGTTGTTTGTGTGTTTATGTTAATATCTTCAAACTAGTGCTCTGGAACAATCCATTTCACAGTATAGGAACAATATTGACCCATTGTGGGCAATGGTAGACATGGACCTTGTCCAACTCCTCAGGCCATTTCCAGTTAGATTCTCTTGAATCATTCTCCCTGGAGTTCTCTAGCCCAAAGCCCTCAGCTTTTACCCTAAAATCCAACTTTGAATTACCCAGTTGTGAAATGATGATGCAGTGGTGGCCAGTGTAGCCTTGTGGGTGTAGCAGTATAGGGACCTCATCTGGGGTCTTTTGTGAGTGAAGTGCCCAGTGTGCACTGGGCAGATAGAACCCCGGTCCTGGCCTTCCTTGACATCTCCATAGGCCTGTCAGTGTAACCAGTGGGTGCTCTTGGGGCTCAGAAATACGCTTTGTGTGACTGTGCATCTCTTTCCTGACTGTAGTTTCATGTGTTCTCTCCCACTTCTGCACAATTCCCTCTCTCCCTTATCCTAATTTGCCCTCCTTTCTTTTTTTTTTTTCCTGTAAATTTGTACCATTTCCCTCTGATTGTACAGACAACATGGCATCACTCTGCTCCTTTCCACGACTCCTCAACTCTCTTCTGGCTGAAGCCTCTTCCCATCTCACAGCAGAGGCTAGAGTTGTCTATGTATCCATTCCCATAAGACACCTCCATAGATAGCCCTTCCACTGCTGCTTTCTTCTCCCCTTCTCCTTCTCCTCCTCCTCCTCCTCCTCTTCCTCATTGCTCCCTGAGTTTGAAAGTTAGGTTGGGTTTTAGCTGCTCTGTCTGGGCTCCAGGGCCCATCTGGCTCTTAGACTATCAGCTAAGTTCTCTGGTGACCAGGGTTGGTAGAAGCTGTTATTGTTTGCCATCAGCTGAGCAGGTTCCTTGGTCTCAATGGTCAGCCTGGAGTTCACTTATTTTCTATTGTTTTTCCCCCTGTTCTTTGCCCAGGAATCCTCTGAGAGTACCAATACCACCATTGAAGATGAAGACACCAAAGGTAGGAGGGCTGGCTCCATTTTCCCTTCTGGGAGACTCTGTTTCTAGCCTTGCCTAATTTAGTCTAGTCTGTCTCTTTGTAATAAGGATCTGTATGCCGAAGTTAATGTCTGCCTAGAGGGATTGTCTAATCAGAGCAGCACAAAAGTATCTCGATATGAGCTCCTTTGCTATTGGGAAAACCCCATAGGACTGGGGTGCTTGATTCTGCAGAGTAATTTCAGATCTGTCTCCAAGGGCAAAGCTGCAATAGATACCAGAGGTCTCTTTAATCTTTATTTCCAGGCTCCAGATCTTATCCAGGCAGAAACTACCCTTTGATCACTTAACCACAACTGATCAGGCTGGACTCACTGTGTTCTGTTTCCCCATCTCCGATCCCCATTTATCCCTTGATGTCACCATAAGATGCTTATCACTCCTAGCATCTTCTCCTTTCCTTTGCCCCTTTGCCACATACACAAACAACACACTCACTCACTAGGGGCCCAAAGAGAAGAATAAGGGACAGAAATTTTTTAGTAGAATTACAAGTAATAAAAGACATATAAAAATAAATTGACCTGAGTCAAACTGGATGGTCCAGAAGCTTATAGATCTACTTGCCTCTCTGGTCCCTTCTAAATCCCATCAAGGGTTTGGATCCTCTATGAGAGGGGTTGGGTGCCATATCAGGATAAGCCCCCAGAAAGTCATTCTCCCTCCATTCAAGAATGGCATACTTCTGGACTGAGTAGACTCCCCTCCCAAAGTCCAATTTCCTTGGTTCACCCTAGGGACATGATTTAAAGTTTGTCACCAACTCTCAACTAATCAAGAACTCAAGGGCTACATTCTAATCTCTCTCCTCTCTTAATCCCTGGCTGCAGGCCATGTCTATTCTGAAACTCAAGGACCTTCCACTCTGATCACTTAACCACAGTGAGACCTGATGTATTACTTGTGATCCCTCTCCCTTCATCGCTATCTTTGTCCCTAGGGACATCACATTGGTTTTCTAAGTGCCCCAAAACACTCCAGTAGTTTATAGAGATATCATGTTTTTTTTTTTGTTTTGTTTTGTTTTTTTGTAACTGCCAGTATGGAAGATTGAGGTGACACCATTGATTTCCCACTCCCCCTTTAACCCTAATTTTGGGTCTGATACTATTTGGGAAACCCTCACAATAATCAAAGATCTAGGGGCAGCTAGGTGATGCAGTGGATTGAGCACCAGCCCTGAAGTCAGGAGGACCTGAGTTCAAATGCAGGCTCAGATCAAACACTTGATGCTTACTAGCTGTGTGACCCTGGGCAAGTCACTTAACCCCAATTGCCTTAAAAAAAAATCAAAGATCCAGATCAGCAAACAATAACAAATCATCTTGGTATTTTCACTCCTTTTCACAATCACCATCTGGACAGGTTAACAACCATTCCTAAGTCTTACCAGTTACAGTCAGAGAGAAGTCAGTTCTTAGTGCTCAATTTGAACCATATGAACCTTTAGATAAGGTGACTTCTTTCTAAGAAAAAGATTTGGGACAGTTGGCTGGTTTCATTTCCATTCTGGGCCCAGGATTGATACCATAGCAGATATCACCCTTCTCAGGAAGCTGTTTGAGGGGCTGGGGCCAACACCAAAGTTGTCAGTGATATCTGCTCAAAGCAGAAAGAGGGACATGGGAGAGCTTATTGGCCTCAAGGGAGAAGTGGAACCTCCTTCTCTGGCTCCCACGGACTTAATAGACAAATCCAAGGGGTGATCAGTCCTCTGGGGAGCTTCTTACTATTTGATGGGAATTGCTGGACTCAGTGTAACCTGGTGGAAATAACACTGGGAAAAAAAAAACAAAGGACCTGGGTTTGAATCTCAGTTCTTGTTACCTCATCATCTCATTACCAGAGAAGATAATGTATGTAAAGTGTTTTGTGAACTTCATGACTTATATAAATGTTAGTTATTATTATTATTTATTATTACCTGTGTGACTAAGGATGAATTAGTTAACCTCTCTTGGCTTTAATTTTTTTATTTGTAAGATAAAGTGGTTAAATTAGATCAGCGGTTCTCAGAACCCCTTTTGGGGGGAGTCTTTACATTTCAGGGCTTTATTAAAAATTGTTGAGAATCTCCAAAGAGCTTTTGTGTTATATCTGTTGATATTTACTATATTGGGAATTAAAACGTTTTAGTATTACTATGAAAATAGTTTTGACCTCACATACCCTCTGAAAAGGTCTTGTGGATCCCAGGGGTTCCTGGACTGTACTTTGAGACTCATTGGACTAGGCCTCCAATCATAGAACTTAAAGCTAGAAGACGCTTTAGAGATTATCTAGTCCAACTCCCTCATATTACAGATGAGAAAACTGAGACCTGGAGATATAAGTAACAAGTGTACATAGTCACACAGGCAGTAAGTACCCGAACTGGGATTTTAACCTGGGCAATCTTTTGCTAACTTCACAATTTTCAGCATGCGTCTGTTTCTAAATATGTGGTATTATAAATGAGGAAGGCCTTCTGGTAAATATTTCCCTGACGAGGGAGGCAAGCTATGATTCAGTCAGTTGGGATGGGGCCTTGGTGATGCAGCTATCTAATGATGTCTGAGAGTTCTGATCTTGGGATTTGGTATGGAGCCAAAAAAGACACTAGCTTTGAACAAGAAAGGCACCAGGGCCTGGGTTTAGGCATCTCTGGAAGAAAGATATCCCAAATAAGGTGAGATACTGGCAAGGAGTGGTAGAGCAAGGCTGAGTGGAGAAGATGGAGGAACCCTAGGGGTTTCTGGCCAGCTTCCTTTGCTGGCTGGGATTCTATATACTCATAAACTCCTCATTTCTGCCTCTCCTCTTGGAGGTGGTGCAGGGTGAAAGAGCAATAGTCTCTGGGCTGACAGGATCATAGATTTAGAGGTGGAAAGGACCTCAGAGAACATCTGGCCCAACTCCATTATTTTATAGATGAAGAAACTGAGGCTCAAGGAAGTTGAGTGACTTGTTCAGAGTCACATAGATAGCATCAGAAGCATGATTTGAACCCAAGTCCTCTTGGTCCAGAGTCAGTGTTTTCTCTGCCATGACACGCTGCAGGAAGGAGGGATTCACTGGATTGTCATCTCTTGCTTGCGCATCTCTATTAGCTTCTCAGGTCAAAGAACAGACAAGGAAACTTGAGACAATGCAGTGTATGAATGAATAAATGAATAAAGCATTTATTAAGCTCTTTCTGTTTGCAAAGAACTGGGGATGCAAATAGAAAAGTAAGATAGTTCTAACCCTCAAGGAGCCCCAAGTTCTAATGGATGAGACAATGCAGAGGGAAGGTTTTACCTCCAAGTCTGGTAGAAAAGCTTAAAAGTTCCTTGGGGTATGCTGGGAAAGCATATGTTAATTTTTCTTCTTTAACATCATTTCCACTGATTAAATGATATTATTTTATATACTTTTATGTAAATATTTCGTATATAAATATGTTATGTATTTATATGCAGTTATACATCTTATGTATAAATATTTTGTATATTTCTACACAAATATTTAAATATAAATATTTTATATATTTCTATAAAACATTTACATATGTGCATATAAGTATCTCTATATGTTTTATATGTAAATATTTTTCATATTTACATTTAAATATGTATATATTTAACATATTTATTTGTAAATATTTTCTAGATTTAGATAGTGAAAAGTACGGGGGATTTGGAGTTAGAGAGAGCTAGATTTGAATTCCATCTTATTCGTTGTATGATCTTGGGAAAATCCTCTCTGAGTTTCAGTCAGTTAGTCAGTTAGTCAGGAAATATTTCCAAAGTGCCTACTATGTGCTGAGTTCTGTGCTTAGCATTGGGGATTCAAAGAAAAATAAAAGACAGTTCCTGTCCTAGGGGAGCTGACAGTCTAATGATTTCCTCACTTATAAAATGAGATGGGGGTTGGACCAGGTGACCTCTTGGGTCCCTTCCGGTCCTAAGGCTTGTGAAAAGCAAAGGGGGCTGTCACAAGCAGCACCTGAGCAAAGGTAAAAGGCTAACCTGGTTTCCTTTGGAGCTGAGAAGGCCTGTCATTAAGAACAGGAAGAACAAAGTGCAGTCCCCCCAGATTATCATCCTTCCTTGTATTTGCAGAGTCATTTTTAGCTCTTCAAAGGTTCTTACATTCTTGATCTTGACCCTCTCAACAGCCCTGAGAGGGAGGGATGGGGGCTGGGAGGAAAGGGACTACTGCTCACATTTTACAGAGAACCCGAAATGGGTGTGCATGCTTCTGTGTGTGTGTGAAGAAATTCTTAGATTACTGACACACTTAAAAAAAACATCTTTGTGCCTGGCCCCCTCCGCTCATCTTCCCTTGGAGTGGTTGATACCATCTAGCAATAAGAACACTAGACTGAGGAGTAGCTGGGGTGGCCAAAGAGGTATGAGGGGGAAGTCATAGCATTAACTCCTCTTTCTAAGGCTTTCCTCACAATAAGTTCATGATGGGGCAGCTAGGTGGTGCAGTAGATTGAGCGCCGGATCTGAAGTCAGGAGGACCTGAGTTCAAATGTGGCCTCAGATGCTAGCTGTGTGACCCTGGGCACGTCACTTAACCCCAATCATTTAACTCCGATTGTCTCAAAAAAAACCCCAAAACCCATGAGGTAGGTTGCATAAGGATTATTACCTGTGTGACCTCACCAACCTGAACCTTGGTTTCCTCATCTCTAAGATGAAGGGGTGAGACTATATGGGCTCTGAAGATCTAGAGCTATGATCCTTTGAAGACACTCCCCTCCCCCATTTCACAGATGAGGAGAGTGAAGGCTAGGGTCACAAACATCTACTAACTGTAGGAAGCACCATCTGAACCCCAGTCTCTCTCCTACAGCTCTGGCATTTCCCCCGCAGTAGCTTTCTGCTCTACCGTTACCTGGCTCTGCCCCTAATGGGAATATACCAACCAGAAGCTTAGGCCTCTTCTTGGCTCTTGACTCACTATCTGACCTTAAGAAACATGCTTAACCTCTTAGGGCCTCATGTTTCTCCCCTCTGAAAAGAAGTACTCCCAGGAGGCCAGGACGATCACCATCTATGTGAAATGTCAGGAATCAAGTGGGGACCTGGCCTGTTGCCTCTGAAGAGCTGCTGGATGGACTCCCACACATTAGGACTGGGCAGAAGGATGGGTCTGGAGCAGACATTTGTGGTGCTCAAAGTTAATTGGTTTTTAGCTTCTGAAAAGACGTACGAAGTTAGAGGAAGGGCTTACGGACGTGGGAATGTTATGGGGCTCATAGAGGGGTGAGTGTAGGACAGTAGAGAGCTGGTCTAGAAGTCAGGTCAACCTAAGCTGGAGTCCCGCCTTTGACACATACTGATTGTGACACTGGAAAAGTCACTCATTTCCTTTAAAACTCTGCTCAAACAATATCTACATGAAGCCTTTCCTGATCCCTCTAGCTCTCCCCTCTTTCCAATTTGTCTTCCATATACTTCTTTCAGAGGAGGCATGAGCGCCTTGAGGATAGAGATTTTCATTTTTGTTTTTATAGCCCCAGCATCTAGTCCAGTGTTTGGCACTTGATAGGTGTTATTGGGATGATGCAGTGTAGAATGGAAGGACAGCTAGGTGGCACAGGCAGGGGATAGAGCCCTGGCCCTGGAGTCAGGAAGAGCTGAGTTCAAATCTGGCTTCAGACACTTACTAGCTGTGATACCCTGGGCAAGTCATCTAACAATGTTTGCCTCAGTTTCCTCAACTGTAAAATGATCTGGAGAAGGAAATGACAAACCACTCCAGTATCTTTGCCAAGAAAACTCCAAATGGGGTTATGAAGAGTGGGACACGAGTGAACAACAACAAATGTAGAATGTAAATTCCTTGAGGACAGATGCTATTTTGCTTTGTCTTTGTATCTCCAGCACTAAACACAGTGCCTAGCCCGTAGGTAAGTGCTTAATAAATTCTTGATGATTGATCACATAGAGGAAAGAGTGGGTATTTTTGCTTGGCACTGATGAGTAGAATTAAGACCAGTAGGTGGAAGCTACAGATATGCAGACTGAGGCTCAAAAATAAGGGTCAATTTTTTGTTGTTGTCATTCAGTTGTTTTCAGTCATATTTCACTCTCCGTGACTCCATTTGCTGTTTTCTTAGCAAACATACTGGAGTAGATTGCCATTTCCTTCTTCAGCTCATTTTACAGATAAAGGAAACTGAGGCAAACACAGTTAAGTGATTTGCCCAGGATCACACAGCTAGTAAGTGTCTGAGGTTGGATTTGAACTCAGGGTGATGGGTCTTCTTAACTCCAGGCCCAACACTCTATGCACTATGGCGCCACCTAGCTGCACCGAGGAATCAATTAGAGACGTCCAATGGTAGAATGGTCTACCTCAAGAAGCACATGGGAATGCCTCTGGAGGCATGTGGAATGGCACTTATCTGATTATTACCATATGATGTGGTAGTGGAAAGAGCTCCAGATTTTGAATCTTAAGATCAAGTTTCAAGGCTCAGCTTTCCCACAGATTATCTATGTGATCTCAGGCAATAATTCCATCTTTTTGAGGCTCAGTTACTTAATCTGTAAAATTGGGATAATTGTTGTAATACCTATGTTGCAGAGTTATTGTGAGGCTCATTGGAGTCAGGATGACATGTTTGCTACAACTAGCCATGTGACCCTTGGTAAGTCATTTACTCTCAATGCCTCAGGTAAAGCTCTCTAAGGTCATAGGTTGCAGAGCAGTCATTGATCTGCTTTGGTAGAGAGAAGTTCCTCACTGGATAGGTCCTTACATCCATGAAATCACAGTTTCTGACCCATAAGTCACTGAAATAATACATTAAAATCCCTTGCAAACTGCAAAGTACTAAATGAATACCAAACATTGTTATTATTATTCTGCCATAGAAAGTATTCATCCTTTAGGTAGCTATGTGGTAGCTTGAGGCAGCTAGGTGGTGCAGTGAATAGATTGCCAGGCCTGCAGTCAGGAAGATCTGAGTTAAAATTTGTCCTGAGATGCTTACTGACTGCGTGTCCCTGGGCATGCCACTTAACCTCTGTCTGCCTCAGTTTCCTCAACTGTAAAATTGGGATCATAGCAACACCTATCTTTCAAGTTTGTTGTGAGGACCAAAAGAGGTAATAGTAAAAATGTTTAGGATAGTGCCAGGCACATAGTAGGTTTTTAATAAATCCTTCTTCCCTTCTCCTTCAGGTTATGATTCTGTGATTCTTCTTAGAGTTGGAATCTTGTTCTGGCACTAGCCAGTTTGAGCATGGACAAGTCACTCAATTGTTCTGAGTCTCAGTTTCCTTATATGTAAAATATAAAACACTATTTGTCTTTCTACATTCACGGGGATTTTTCTGAGGAGAGTGTTCTGTCAACAGGAAAGAGTTGTAGGAACATGAACTATTATAATTGTAGTCCTTGGGGGCCCAAGTTTGTGCTACCCATAAGAGGCGTGGCCCTGGCCTACTTGAGCTTGTATCCAGAAGCAGGTTTCTTGATGGCAGGTCAGCAGGCACAAGATGGCAGCAGAGCAGCTCCCACTAACTAGCTCCAGTCCCAGAGCTTCCCCCAGGGTTTCAGTCTCACTATCAGGCTCCCCTGGGGAAAACTGCTGAGGGCAGGATATTTAAGACCCTGCCTGAAGGCCAGCTGGCTTCTGGGATGTCATTACTTATACTAGGTTCTCCCTTTTCATAGCTTAAGACTTCCGAAGGACCCTGTCCTCTGCTTGTGATTTAGAGTGAGATTCCATCCTCTGGCTGTGATTTAGAACCAAGTATCCCACCCTCAGACTGTGTCTTAAAGTAGGGGTCACTAGCCTCTGACTGACATATACCCAGGTGGTCCATGCTTTGGTTTCAGCAAGTGATGACCATTTGTGTGGGTGTGATGTAGAAGGAATTCTTGTTCAGGTATGATAACCCTTCCAACTCTGCTTTTCTGTGAGGCTTGGGGTGGCAGAAAGAGCACAAGACTTGTCGTCAGGAGACCTAGCTTGCATTCCTAATTCTTACATTAGCTGTGTAAACACTGGACAAGTCAACTCATCTTCTTTGTAAACTGGAGCTAGTGATTCTTGTCCTAACTCCAGAGACTAGGAGCAGACTACTATGTGAGAGGCCATGCTGAGAAGTGGAAAGAGGGTATGATGTGGAATCAGAACACCTGGGTTTGATCCCCTTCTCTTCGACTTACTAGTCATATAACTAGAGTAAGAGAAGGGAAGGGAAGAGGAAGGGGTTGAACACTTATAGAGTGCCTACCATGGGCCAGGCACTGTGCTAAGTGTTTTTTTATAAATATCCTCTCATTTGGTCCTCACAACAACCTTACAAGGTAGGTACTATTATTATTATTCCCATTTTACAGTTGAGGAAATTGAGGCAAACAGAGGTTACTTGGCTTGCCCAGGATCACACAGCTAATTTTGTGTCTGAAGCTGGGTTTGAACTCAAGTCGTCTTCATGATTCCAGGCCCAGAGCTCTTTTCGTTGTGTAACCTCCAAGCATTTACGTAATGCCTGTTATGGGCCAGGCACTGTGCTAAGAACTTTTTATAAATGTAATATCATTTGATCCTTCACCTTTCAGTCATTTACTTCTCTTGGCCTCAGTTTCCTCATATGTAAAGTGAGGGAATGGGTCCAGATCATTTTTACAATCCTTACTTAATAAAAGAATTTGTTCTGTAAAATACAGCTTTATATACACACATACATGCATACGTATATATTTTTAAAGTTCACAGACCCAGGTTAAGAAGCCCTAAGGTCCCTTCCAGCTCTAAGACCTGTATAACTATGAACTATTAATAGGAAATGTTCTTTCCCCTTAGTGTTGGTGGGAATTATATGCACCTGTTACTCCATGCTGGCTTCAGTACCCCCTAAGGGACTTGAGGCAAATCTTTCTCTCGGGGTAGATGGGGGAGGGGTAGCCATTAGCAGAGAATTCTCCTAAGACAGAAGCAAAGAGACAGGAGGGGGCACAGCTCATTAGCTGAGGGGTCAAAACCTGGTAGGGATGGACAGAAAAAGAAATGGGGATGGGGGGGTGAGGTGGGCAGGGCCTGATAAGACACATACCTTAGGAAGATTGCCTTGGTGTGAAGGCTGCACTGGGAGGGCAGAGCCTTGAGACAGGGTTATCAGTTAGGATACAAGGGCTGTCAGACTGAGAAAGGCGTCTCCTTCCTTCCTGCCTGTGGTCATGTCGTACCACTGCCAAGTGGAAGCTCCTAAAAATTTAGCCCAGAGCCAAGTTCTTTGGGCTCACCATTTGGCCACTGGGAACTGGCCCCCCACTTCGTGGTTTCCGGGGACCATTGCTAATGCTTCTTCCTGGTCAGGCTACAAACTCCCTTTGTGTTTTGTGTTTCTCTGTATTTTCTCCTTGCCCTACAGTGAGAAAGCAAGAAATCATTAAGGTGACAGAGCAGCTGATTGAAGCAATAAGCAATGGGGATTTTGAGTCCTACACGTGAGTTTGATGGGTACTTCTGGATATCTGGGTCAAGGGAGGAGGGCAGTGTGACTGAATGATTATGTGGAGATGATTTAATTCCAGCATGGCATAATGCATGGACAGCCAATCTCAGAGCCAGGAAGACCTGAGTTCAAATTCTGTCTCTGACTCAGACTGGCTGTGTGATCTTGGGCAAACAATTTAATTTCTCTATGCTCTTGGTGACTCTCTAAGACCATTGATTGCAAGAAAGCTATCAACATGCACTAATAGAGGAGCTCTCCTCACCTGGGAGCTCCCTTCAACCAACAAAAGCACAGGGCTAGTCCCTATCCTATCCCTGTTCACCTCACTTTTATTTGTAAAGGTCTGCTGAGGGCATGGATCAGCGCAAACTCCTCTTTTGTATTTAGATTAAACTCATTTTAAGTTTTTTTTTTCCCTTGGTTAGAATTTTCCTCTCTGCAGCTTGATTTATGTTTCTTTTCTGCCTTCCCTCCCATGCCTTCCTAACTCTCATTCCCTGTAGACTCTTCCTTTATACTGCTAAATGATCCTTTACTTCTCTAAGGAAAAGATGTTTTTATTTCTTCCTTGAATTCCCTGGGCTCTCTGGGAGTGTGTGCGTGGGTGTGTGTAGATGTGTTGCAGAGTAGAGGGGCTGCAGCTGGATGCTCCCTGGAGGGGATACTGGTGGTAGTGTTTCTCCATCCATGCTGCTATCTATGGTGAGAATGTTGTTGAGCAGCAGTTCTCAAAGTTTTTGGTCTCAGGACCCCTTTACACTCTTAAAAATTATTGAGGACTCTGAAGAGCTTTTGTCTATGTGTGTTATACCTATTAACGTTTACCATATTAGATGGTAAAATATTATTTAGTTAATAAAATTAATTTAATAAAATTAAAGCATGATCAATTTAAAATATTTATTTTATTTTTAAAACACAAAACATTTATTTTATAGGTTAAAATATTGAATTCATTTAAAATGACAACAATAAACCAATTACATGTTAATGTAAATAATATTTCTATGAAAAATAATATTTTCCAAAAGAAGACAATTTAGTGAGAAGAGTGGCATTGTTTTGCATTTTTAATATTTTATTTTTTCCAATTATATGTAAAACCAATTTTAAACATTCATTTAAAATTTTTTTGAGTTCCAAATTTTCTCCCTCACTTCTTTCCCACCCCCCTCTTTGAGAAGGTAAGCAATTTGATATAGGTTATACATGTCCAGTCATGTAACATATTTCCATATTAGCCATGTTGCAAAATAAAACAGAGACAAAAAAAGACGAGAAAAATAAAGTAGAAAAAGTATGCTTTAATCAGCATTCAGACTCCATCAGTTCTCTGGAGGTGGATGGCATTTTTCATCATTGAAGTCCTTTAGAATTGTCTCAGATCATTGTATTGCTGAGAATAGCTAAGTCATTCACAGATGGTCATTGTACACTATTGCTACTCCACTTTGCATCAGTTCTTATAAGTCTTCACAGGTTTGTTTTGCGTGTTTTTGCAAATTTCTCTAATGTTTGGCTTAATAGAAGAGAGCTACATTCTCATATCTGTTTCTGCATTCAATCTGTTGCAATATGTTGTTTTGCTTGAAGTGTGTGAAGAAGATCCAGCCTCACAAGATAGGTAGCTGGAAAAAGAAGAAAAATTTTAACAGGCAAATAACATCATAGTATTATTATGAAAATCATTTTGACTTTGCAGGACAGCAGGGGTCCACAGACCACCCTTTGAGAACCCACTGTTATAGAATGATCTTTACTTTTTAATGCACTCTCTGCTCATTCCACATTGTTCTAGCTTATCCTCTGGGCTGGGATTTCACATTCAATTCAAAAAACACTTATTAAGCATCTACTTACTATGTGCAAAGCACTGTGCTTGGCTCTGGGGTACAAAGATGAAATGACAAGCCATCAGAGCTTACAAGCCACTGGGGGGTGGAAGGAGGCATGGAAATAACAGATGTGTGTATGTGTGTGTGTGTGTGTGTGTGTGTAATGCAAAGCAGAATGTAGAAAGGGTAAAAGAGAGATCTAGATTGCTAGGTAGGATTAGAAATCCACTTTGAGCCGGAAGAATCAAAAAAGGCTTCATGGAAGAGTTAGCACTTGAACTGGGCCTTGAAGGAAGAGATGGTTTCCAAAAAGAAGAGATGGGGGGGGGGTGTCTATTGCAGGTTTAGGGATGGCCTGTATAAATATAAGAAGTCAGGAGAAGGCAAGAGGAGATTGGGCATCTGTGAATAGTCCGGTTTGATTGGAATGGAGACAATGTGAAGGCATGTAGTGCGAAATAAATCTGGAAAGGTGGATAAGGCAGCCAGATTATGGAAGGCTTTAAATGCTAGACTAAGAAGTTTGTAATCTCTCCTGAAGGCTGTGGGGAGTCCTGGAGGTTTTTGACCAGGGGGGTGACCTGGTAAGAACTAAGCACTACAGAGATTTATTTGGCAGCCGCGTCAAGGATGGATTACAGAGTACAGGAACTGGAGGCAGAGACACCAGTCAAGCTATTCCAGTAGGCCAGGGGGAAGAAATAAGGGCCTGAACTAACGTGGTGGTTATGTGAATGGAGAAGATTTTGTGGAGGTAGAATCTTCAGTATTTGGCAGCTGCTTGGATATAGGCAATAAGGGAGAAGGCAGGATAACTCCTCTTAGTTAGAATCTTGCAGGATTCCTGTAAGAAAGGGGAAATGGGCCCTTGGCCCTGGAGGAGAAAGGAGTGCTTTCCATATTCTGCTTTTACTATGCTCTGCTGCAAGGGGTTGGCTGACAGCCCCCTGGGAGTTGGAACACTTCCTGCTTGCATGTTTTGTCAGCTATGTGGGGCAAATGTTAGGGCTGGGTGAGGGGATCAATATTCCTGAAAGGGCTTCCTTGTGCTCAAGCCCAGGTTCACTGGAGCTGATGTTGCATGTACTGGACTTTGGATCTCCCTAACCTTAGGGCTGAGAGAGAGCCTAGGGTGGTTGCTCTGTGGCATCCCCTCCTAGGGAAAGGGACAAAACAAAGAAGGCCCACTTTATGTGTTAACTGTAGAGAAGGGTCAGGTTAGGAGTGAGCAGAGACACTTCTTGCTTCCACAGAACATGGGGCCTTGGAAGCCCTAAGTGTGCCTGTTTGTGCATGTGTGGTCAGGTGAGTGAATCAATATTTACTTGGATCTCTGCATATCTGAGGGTGTAAAATGAACCCCTGAAGTGAATGCACAAGGGGCCAAAATGTCCTCCCCACCCTGAGATTCTGCCAGCATTTAGCAGCAGAGGGAAGGGAAAGAAGAAAGGAAGAGTCCTCTGGGTCTCCATTAAGATTCATAGGATAATAAGATACAAAAATAAAATGCTAGAATTCTAGGGGATTGTAGAACACAGAATATAGAATGTCAGAGCTGGAAGAATCTTAGAAAACAGAACATGGAATGTCAGAGCTTGAAAGGATCTTAGGAAAGACTATCAGGAAGAGTTGGAAGGGACCTTAAGGGATTATATTATCTAGTAAAATCCTGCCCCAGGATCCTCATTCAACAGATGAAGAAACTGAGGTCCAGGGAGGTCCCTGTTTGCTCTTGCTTTCCCCAGAAAGATGTGTGACCCTGGGATGACAGCCTTTGAACCTGAGGCTCTGGGAAACCTGGTCGAAGGCCTGGACTTCCATCGATTCTACTTTGAAAACCGTGAGCAATTCCTTCCCTCCGTGGTGCCTGTTGTCTTCTCTCGTTGCTTGTCCTGCCGGCTGGCAGCGTGTCTCAGCCTCCTGGGAATAGCAGTGTGACAGACAGGGCCCCTGGGCAGCTCAAGACCCCGACAAGCCTGCAGGAAGCCCCATGCGGAACGTGGGTTGGTACCATCTCAGATCCCTCTCCTAACCCTGGTCAGGCAGACTGCACTCCCCAACCCTCCCCTGTAACAGCTAGAGGCAGGGACCTCAGGGCTCACAGGAGGGACAGGGGGCAGGCAGCCCTTCCCCCAGGGTCCCTGAGAAAAGAGTTGTTATCACAGGGGCACGCTGGGCAGATTCTGTCCAGCGTGGTCCTGACCTCACAGGCAGTCCGGCTGGCCATTTGGGATGGAGGTTTGGGTGTGTTAGCGGGGCAAAAGCCGGGGAGGACCTCACACTGCTGTACCCCGCCCCTGTCTGTGTGCCATGCAGCTGGGCCTCTGTTCTTCATGTCTGTGAGTCCTTAGTCCTGTGCATTCCCTCGGCAGGGCTAGCATGATACTTGGGGGCTGGTCTGGGGCTTCCGCAGGACTGTTTCTGCCTTTGCCTGTTTTCCCTGTTACTGGCTCTGAAAACTCCCCCGGCTATGTTATCCTAAGGGGCCCTCATGGAGTCGCAGAGTTGGAAGGAACCTTAATGGAGCAGTAAGCCCAACCTCATTTTTATAGATAAGAATACTTATACTCAGAGAGGGGAAGGGACTTTTCCAAGGACACCCAGTGAGATAGCAGGAGAATCAGGACTAAAAATAATAGCTTACATTTTCACAGTACTATGAGAGTCCCAAGTGTTTTCTTAGAAAATCTAAGCTCCTGGGGCAGCTAGGTGGCACAGCGGATAGAGCACTGGCCCTGAAGTCAGGAGGACTTGAGTTCAAATCCAGCCTCAGACCAAACACTTGATACTTACTAGCTGTGTGACTCTGGGCAAGTCACTTAACCCGGATTGCCTAAAAAACAAAAAACAAAAAACAAAAAAGAAAATCTAAGCTCCTTCAGGGCAGGGACAGTTCCACATTTGTCTTTGTATTCCCACTCACTTACTCAATCAATAAACATTTATTAAGCCCTTGCTACATGCCAGGAATTGTGCTAAGTACTGAACTAGCATATAGTAAGTGCTTAATAAATGCTTGTTGATCGCTTGATTTCCTTACAACAACCCTGTGAGGTAGTTGGGGTAAGTATTGTAACCCACATTTTATAGAAAAAGAAATATACTTAGAGATGTGATTTACTCAAGCTCCCCCAGTCAGTGAGAAGCAGTCAGGATTAGAACCCACATCTCCTGTCTCCCAAGCTAATGATGTTTCTATTACCCTTTCCATTACCCTCTCCTCCCATGTTGTCTCCTCTTCATAGGAGGGAGATGAGTCAGGAAGCCTTCATTCCATTGTGACTCTTTGGTCACAGTCTAGCTGATTAAATATTCCATTTGGGTTGGAGTTTGGGGGCCTCCTCCCAGATTCTGTGCCTGGACAGCAAAAAAGGCTTCAGCCACTCTTCCTGACTTTGCCATCAGATGGATGTATCATTTTTGCCATGTGAAAAAGTAAGAGAGATAAAATAAAAAAACAACCCTCTTATATAACTGCAAAACATTCTGTAGTTCTCCTGATACGCACTGGCAATAGTGGAAAGCCAAAGAGATACCCTGGGCCTTGGTTTCTGGGGCCATTAATTTTCAACCTTGCCTACAGCCTGATTTCTTGGCCCCATGGTTCTATGCTAATTTTCCTGAGCACTCCTTTCTAATCCTGTCTTGCCCTGGAAGGGAGACCTGAGGAACCCTGAGGTTCTTAAGGGGCCAAAGTGTTAGATTAGGCAGGTTACTGAGCTGGGAGTCAAGCATTCTTGCTTAGGGTCTCAGTTCAGCAAAATTTTCCCTCTTAAAGCCTCAGTTCCCTTCTCTGTAAAATGGAGAATACTTATACTATCATCCTCATGGGATTGTGAGCAAAATATTTTGCAAACCTTAAAATGCAATGGAAATGGGAACTAATGTCATTATCTGAAAAAATATTAGGGGTTGACCTAGCTGATCTCTAAGGACCCTTACAGTTCTGTGTGGCTTTTGTCAAAGTTTCTCTAGATTCCTGTACTGGGTGAAAGGTTGAATGGGATGACTCCTGAAGTTCCTTCCAACTGTGAGATGCTCTGGTTTTAAGCTGTGGGGATCTATGTGGACATTGCTGTCTGAACTAGCCTGATGTTGAAGCAGGGATGATGGGCTCCTTGCCTCATCTGCTACAGAGAGACCTTTTCCTTCAACACTGGGAAGTATTTTTCTGCAGTAGTAATTCCTCCTAAACTTTCTGCCCCCTCTTACCCTCAAGAAGAGCATTCTGGGGAGAGAGTGGTCTCATTTTCCTCAAACTTCTCCAATAAAAGGATGTAATCCTCTGGAAAACTTCCCTTGGCTCCCAGATGTCTGAGGGGCAAGATAGGGCCTGATGATTGAGTTTCCACCTCTGAACTAAAGTAGACGATAGGTCCCCTCAGTTAAGGGGGCTCTGGGGGGAGCTGGTGAAGGAAAGAGAATGATGAGAAACTTCAGGGTCTCCCAGCTCATGAACAATCCCATGGTTCCATTCCACTTTTACTCCTTGTCCCCCTCCCTCTTTACCCTTCCCTTCTCCTTATTCCCTGATCTCCAGTGTGGTCCAGGAACAGCAAGCCTGTCCATACCACCATCCTGAACCCCCACATCCACCTGATGGGTGATGAGTCAGCCTGCATTGCCTATATTCGCATCACACAATATGTGGACGCCAGTGGTATCCCTCGCACTGCCCAGTCTGAGGAGACCCGCATCTGGCACCGCCGGGATGGCAAATGGCAGATCGTCCACTTCCACAGATCCGGAGCACCTTCAGTCCTACCACAGTGAGATCCTTTTTCTTTTTCCTTCCTCTTCTTTATGTCAGGCTGCCCCCAATACTGAGACTTCCCGGGGTGGAATCCAAAGGGTAGCTGTGGTTTGACTGAATACTGGAACAGAGTCTAAGTCATTATCTCCCAGGTAGACAATCTTCTGTTAATACAGAACTACCCAGTCATTCTAATTAGGTTAGGATGCATCGGTGTCAAAACAGTGTATGATTCTTTAGATTATTTTTAATCAGAAATTATCACAGTTGCAGTCCTGGTAATGGCTGACGTTTCTCTAGCTCTTAACACTATTCCATCTGATCCTTAAGCAACCCTTTGAGGCAGGAAGTACAAGTAACATTGTAGGAGGTTATTTTGTATATGTATTTTTTAAAATGTTAGAGCCAGAAGGAAACTCAGAACATTGAATGACAGCACTGGAAGAGACCTTAGAATAAAGTGTGGGAACTGAGGGGGACCCTAGACCATAGGACATCAGAGATAGAAGGGGCCTTAGACATGGGATCATAGGATCTAAGGCAGAGGGGATTACTAATCCAATCTCTTCGTTTTACAAATAGGGAAACTGAAGCCCCAAGAGGTCAAGTGACTTGCCTGCAATCACACAGGTAGTAATTGTCAGAGCAGGGTCCTCTGTGTTCCTTTTACTATACCAGATTCTTTCCAGATCATAGGATATGGAGTGCCAGAATGGAAAGGGATGTTAACAAGTTACATATTATGATCCTCTTATTTTACAAAGGTGGGAACCAGAGAGGTTAAGGTATTTGCCCAAGGTCACACAACTTAATAAAGTGGGAGAGTCAGGTGAACCCACATCCTTGTTAGGGAGGCTGTTTTAGAACTTAACCTCCACAGGATTTTAGGGTTTTCATAGCTATCTAGAATTTGAGAACATTTATAAAAGCTGTGTTCCACCCTTCCTTACTCCTTCATACTCCCAAACTCAGCTAAAAAAGAAAAGGCATTTGCCTTATCTTTTATGAATCCTGTTGGTTTAGCCCAAATAATTACATGGTTGACATTAAAAATACATGTTTAATTGTTCTACATTTCAAACATGTTTTCTCTAGTAGAACTATTCTGATTGTTGTCTTTTTTTCCCTCCAAAAAAATGTTCAGAGGTCACACTTCTGTGTCTTTTCAATACACTCCCCTTCCCACCCCCATCTTCACCCTCATCTCCGCCCTTCTCCCCTCCCAAGCCACCTAATAATAATAGTTCACATTGATATAATGCCTTGGTGTTGGCAAAGTGCTCTGCCTAGGCACACCATGATGAACGCATTCATTTTTTACAATCCTTTGAGGTTTACAAATGTCAACCTGTTGTCTTGCAACAAATCAGTGAGGGAGGTAGTGCTGCCATTATCTCCATTTAACAGGTGAGGAAACTGAGGCCCCAAAAGGTGACGTGACTTCTCCAAGGTTACAGAACTACTAAGTAGTGTAGCTGAATTTATGAAAACAAACTTATTTGTATTACTTTGCAAAAGGGTTCACTATAGAGTTCCCTTAAATGGCAACATCTCTTGATGTATTCAAAGGAGCATTCATTAAGTGCCTATAACTTGCAGACCATTGTTATCCTTTCTGAGAAATATGAAGATTAGATGAGATATGGTCTCTGTCCTCATACAGCTCACAGGCTATCATATGGCCATTATGTATGCAGAGAGTTCAATAAGACATATTCTATAGATTTCATTAGAGAGGTGCAAAATGCTACAAGAGCAAGGTCTGAAAGGCAGAGGTCATTACTGACTGTAATTTTAGGGAAATGATCCCAGAAAGGGTAGCATTTCATTTGGGCTTTATAATATTGGTAAGGAATTTAGCAGGTTGGGAGGGGTGGCATTCTAGGTTTAGAGAATAGCACATGCAAAGATTTGGGGTTGGGAAAGTATATGGTATGGATAGGAGGTGGCAAGTTGTCCATGTTGGACAGAGTGGTCAGTGTGTTCAGGGAAGTAGAATGAGACAGGTGGCACCAGGCTGTGGACCTATGTGGGTGGAAGTGTCCTGTGGTCATTGAAGGTGTGGGTGTAAAATCAAGAGGCAGCTTGAGAAGAACTAGAGAGACTTTGGAATCATTGCATGGAGGTGAGAAATGAAGTTGTGGGAGTGAGTCAGACTGTCACACACAGCACCCAAAGAGAACAGACCAAGGACGGAACCTTGGGGAGTTACTACCTTAAGGGTCTAGGTCCCAGGGGTGGGGAGCCTGCAGCCTCCAGGCTATTCCTTGAGTTCAGCCTTTTGACTGAGTCCAAGTTTTATAGAATAAATCCTTTTATTAAAGGGATTTGTTCTGTGAATTTCTGAGACTCTAGGAAGAGGAAAAGGAGTCATATATATGAAAGAAAGCTGGTTAAATGTTGACTGTGGTGGGTTTTGGGTTTTTTTTGGGGGGGGGCAACATGGCTTAGTGCGTAGAATACTGGACTTTGAGTCAGAAAGACATGGGGATACAAATACAGAGAATGAAACCATTTCTACTCACAAGGAACTTATATTCTATTTGGGGAGAGAGAGGAGGGAACAAGCATTAATTATGTGCCTACTATACAGGCCAGGCTCTATGCTAAGTGCTTTAGGGAAGGGAATAAGCATTTATATAGCTCCTACGATGTGTCAGGCACTAAGCGTTTTTTACTAATATCTCATCTGATCCTCACAACAACTCTTTGAGGTTGCTGCTGTCACTATTCCTGTTTTATAGATGAGGAAACTAAGTCAAACAAAGTTAAATGACTTGCTCAGGGTCACACAAAGAGTCATTATCTGAGGCCAGATTTGGACTCAGGTCTCCTGACTCCAGGCTCAGTGCTCTGCCCACGGTGTCACCTAGATATTGATGCTTAATACTGCACTGGGACCTTTGGAACATGCTGAATAAGTATAGACAGAAAAGCTATAAAGAGAATAAACATAAGTTGGTTGGGATAGAAAGGTGCTAGCATTTGAGAGGATCAGGGAAGTCTCTGGAGTAGAAAATGATTCTTCAGCTGGGTCTTGAAGGTAGAGAAGGATTTTATGAGGTGGAGGTAAGGAGGGAGGACATTCCAGGCTTGGGGGATGGAGTGCTGTGCCTGTGTGAGGAACAGAGGCCAGTTTGGTTGGACAATGAGGCTGGTAAGATAGTTTGAGGCCAGGTTGGAAAGGACTTTTCAAACTAAACAGAGTTTATAATTTATTCTAGAAATAGTAGCGAGCCACTAGAGTATATTGAAGAGCCTGGTCAGAACTATACTTAAGGAGGGGCAGCTAGGTGGCCCAGTGGATAGAGCACTGGCCCTGGAGTCAGGAGGACCTGAGTTCAAATATGGCCGTTGACACTAGCTGTGTGACCCTAGGCAAGTCACTTAACCCCAATTGCCTCACCAAAAAAAAAAAAAAAAAGAACTGTACTCAAGGAAAATCACTTTGGCAACTATGGAGAGGATAGACTGGAGTGGGGAGGGACATATGGCAGGGAGGTGGGGGCCAATCAGGGGGATGTTGCAGTAATTCAGGCAACAGGTGATGGGAGGAGTTGTTGTTTAGTCAATTAGACGTCTAACTCTTCGTGACCCCATTTAGGGTTTTCCTCGTAAAGACACTGGAGTGGTTTGCCATTTCCTTCTCTAGCTCATTTTGCAGATGAGGAAACTGAGGCAAACAGGGTTAAGTGACTTGCCCAGGGTCACACAGCTAGTAAGTGTCTGAGACCAGATTTGGACTCAGATCCTCCTGACTCCAGGGTTAGCTCCCTATTCACTGCATCACCTTGCTGCCCCCATGACAGGTGGGGCAAGGGCTGAACTAAAGTAGTGACTGTGTGGGCAGGAATACAAGAGATGTTGAAGAGGTAGAATGGTTAGATTTAGTTATGTGAGGTTAGTGTGGGTGAGTCAAGGGTGACTCCTAGGTTATAAACCAGAGATCTGAAAGAATGGCCTTTGACAGAAGTAGAGGAGTTGAGCTGAGTTGAGTTGAGTTGAGTGTGTTTGACTTTGGGCAAATACTGCATTGTCTACATACTGCCCTGTGCCTCAGTTTCTTCATCTGCAAAATGGGGAAGAGTTATATGTAGTTGCCTCTAAAGTCTCTTCTAGTTCTAAATCTATACTTCTATGACCTGTAATCCTAAGAATATTCTACCTATTATTATCACCGTGAGTGTCCTTGTTCTTCTCTTTTAATCCTTCAACTTCTATTCTTCAGCTGAAGCTCCGATTGGGTTGTGCACTCCTTGGCTGCACCACGGAGATCCACCCTTCTTCATCTGTGGCATGTGGCTGCTGGTTCTACCATATGCTGGAATTCCCACCACCATCATCATCATCACCACCACCAAGCTCCTCACAGAAGCCAAGAAAACCTGCCAACCAACTCAAGCCATTGTGCACCAGAGAGCAAACGGCCACAGTTATTTATTTACTTTTATTTTCCCCTTTTTTTCTCTCCCTGTTTTGCTTTTCATTTTTTGATTGTGTGCATGAGCCAGGCCCAGGGGCCCAGATTACCATTCCTCTGCCTGGGTCAGCTGCTCCCAACTCTTGGGACAGAGAATAATGTGGAAGGAAGGGACCCCTCTCCCCATCCTCCCACCGCCTGCCCCATGTCTGGGAGCTAATAATTTCCTAAGTGCATAGCTCTGTTAGCTATGCTGCCTGTTGGACCCAACCCTCAATTCCCACAGCCTACCACTCCTTGCAGAGGTGGGTAGATGGGGAAATCAAGCCTGTTCCATAGTGATGCCAGGCCTGGGTAGCTAGCTAGCTAGCATAGTGAGCAGGTCCCTGTTTGCCAGCTCTCCTGAGGTCTCAGGCCTACCTTCTCTGTTCCTGCCTCTCTTTTGAGGCACTTTTGGGAGAAAGGCAGCTGACCCAATAGAGAAGGTCATTTATGGCAAAGAAGGCAAACTGAGGAATCTGGCTGCAAGCATGAACTAGCCAGATTCTTTGCCTTGGGCTTTCAAATACATCAAATACATATCCCTCCTTTCTGTGTTCTTTCCTTTCCCTTGGTGAATTGCTTTTCTTCTTCTACTGTGCTCTCTCTCCCTTTTCTTCCTTCTGTGAAAATTGAAACTGACTTAATTTATTCACTTATTTATTTTATTTTGGGGAAAACAATCAGTGTTAAGAACACTGGTGCTAGACCAGGGCACTTGTCCTTTCTTGGCGATTTGGTGGGGCCGTTTGCTTCAAATAGGGATTTCATCGAATTCATTCTTCCAGCATAGTTTGAAGTTTCTGCTTTAGTAACACTTGAGAGAGGAAAGTTGATCATCTTTTGGGGGGAAAAAAAAGAAAAACTAAAAGCAACCTTTAGGAATCTCTTCTACTTTGACCGCATGCCTTTTGATATCCAAACTTCTGTGTATTTGGTAAATTGATTTCATGTATTTGCTGCAATGGATCTTTATGTAATAGCTAAACATCTCAGATTACTTTGGGGAAGGGTGGGTTAGGGTAGGGTAGTTGTTTCTTTCACTTTTCTCTTTCTCTCTTTTCCCCTTAACTTCTGAAGCTATAAATGTGTAACAATTGGGTGTCTGCAGTATAGGTGAGCTCTACCTCTCATCCTTGGGGGAGCCTATCCTTTCTACCCTCTGCTGTGCATCAGCCCCGCTGGGTTCCCTTCTGTTATGCTGACAGAGTTGGAGTTGGGAGAAGCATTGCATGCTGACATGAATATTGAAATAGCTGGCCACATCTGACCACAGCTGGCCATGGAGGATGTCAGAAATGACAAGGGAAAACTTGGCCCATTGGAGGAACGCCTTGGCCTCCTGGCTCCCCACCAGAAGCTTTCCCTGGACCTTTATGAAGAACCAAGCCATCTGTGTGGCTCAGTGGACCTTACCTTTAACAGGGCCTTCCCGCAGTGGATGGGAGAGGTCAGAGATCCCTACGTGGCCTGACGCTGTGTGGCCTTTTACCTGTGGGGTCTGATGGTATTTCTAGTGTTTATTTCACCCTTCAGTTTCCTCCTTTCTTGCTCTTACACTCCCTTGGTTTTTCTCCCTTTTCCCCTGGATTGACTCTGACGTAAGATACCCTGGTCCTTCCAGCAGGGCTGTGTCTGCACTGTGTTCCTTGCATGACCTTACACTGTATATGCAGTAAGTTTATTGACAAAATGAACAAAACCAATCATGTGTTTTGGACAAAAAAAAAAAGAAAAGAAAAAAAGAAAAAAAAAGAGGTTGTATTCTCAGTGTTCAATTTGGAATTGTGTTGCTGCCTTTCTGTGTCTCACGGCCTTTGTGTGGCCATGTTTTGCCGGGGCAAAATCATTTCTCCTGACTATCTCAGGAGACGAAGGCCCAGCTAATGAGGGGCCGTAGACTGAGCTTTGGGACGTGGCTCCCATCCAGCCCACTGACCTCTGCATGAATCTTGCATGTGGAGCGAGGGTAGGTACAGGACTATTGAATGATTTCTCATCTGGGCATTTTCTAAGTCTTCCCTGCTTGACTTCTCTGTGAGTGATCTCCTGCCAAATGACAGACGGTCCTCCATCCCTGGTCATTTCCCAGCACCTTTGGGTTTGTTGGTTCCTTTTGTGGGGGTGGGGAAGTGGGAAAAGGGGCCCTTGTGGGTATGGGAGTTATAGCTGGAGGTGGGGGAAAGACAGGGTAATTAGAATTCTGAGGTATATCACTTGGGTCATTGGAGGCAGGGGACAGAAAACCTAACAAGAGTTATTCTGCAAATCATTGAGTCAGTATAATTTTAAGTCATGGTCCTCTTTGCTCTACAGGTCTCTTCTGTAAGGGGCTGAGGTAGGGGGTGAGAGGTAGGGAATATGTATATGTGCTAGTCAGGTTACCAGTATGGCAACAAACAGATGCTTGCTCTAAATCCTAGTGTTTTAGTGGGAAATATTTTCCAGGAGATCAGGCAGAGAGTGTCCCCACCTTCTCACTCAGCTCCCCAGATTAATTACTTAGCAGTCTAAATGGTCTTCCACCAATGCTCCCCTTTTTGTTTTTCCCTTTTAGGAAGCCCTTTTGCTCTCCTTGGCTGTACTCTTGGGCTCTATAGTGACCAGAACTTGCTCAGTCTAATTTCCTCTAAGCTTCTAAGATGTCTTCCCCTAGAGCCCACTTTTCCAGGCTAATCTTTCAATTATAGGTTTCCCTTGTCCTAGAATGAGTGCCCACTATCCCGTCAACCCAGTGGACCAGGCCTCAGGAGCTTGTCATTTCCTTTCTCTAGGCTTGCTTCCCTGTCTGTAAAATGATGGGGTTAGACCAGATGATCTCTGAGGTTCTTTACTGTTTTCAAGTCTATGATCTCCTACCTCTGGTCCCTCAAGGGGCCCTGAGCATATTGGGGGGGGCAGCTAGAGAAACTCTAGACTTCTCTTAGACACTGAAGAGAAAAAGAGTTCTCTCCCCCCCCCTTCTTTCCTCCAACCTCAATCCCTTTCTTGGTACTCTAATAACTACCTGGTAGCCTGACAGTGGAAAGAACCCTGGAATTTTGTGGTTTATCTTTTTCAACTTCATGGTGTCCCCCTTCCCCCCTGGATCCTAGTCTTGGCTTTACTAATGACTCCCTGCCTGACCTCTTCATCTTTAGGGGCCTCAGTCTCCTCATCTGAAGATAAGGGTAGAGTAGGTCATTGGCCCAAATGAGCTTCAATGTCCCTTACAACTCTAAGGTTTCAGCCCAGACAAGCATCTGAGCCATGGGGTTCTTTAATCCCTTGCCAACAGTCTGTTACCTTTTATCAAGAAGTTTACACATCTGTTATCTGAGTCTATTTTCCAAATTGCCTTGTGTGGGAAGTGAGGCAGGAATGGCTACCCTAATTTTTTTTTTTGGTAAGGCAATTGGGGTTAAGTGACTTGCCCAGAGTCACACAGCCAGTGAGTGTTATGTGTCTGAGGTTGGATTTGCACTCAGTTCCTCCTGACTCCAGGGCTGGTGCTCTATCCACTGCGCCATCTATCTGCCCCTGTCCACCCCAGTTTTACAGATAAGAAAACTGAAGAAGGATTTACTGATCCCCATGCTTGTTCTGAATGTAACTCCAGTACCAGCCCTTCTCCTTTCCACCTCATCCTTCCAGAGCCAAGTCTCCCCACCCCTTAGTGCCTTATAGGCTTTGGGACAAACTGTCCCTTCCCCACCCTGCCCCCCACAGTGGCTTTAAATAGTAGCACCCAAAACAGTTAGATGGGCAGGAAAAGCCACTCATAATGGAACTGAGTCAGTGGCCATTTCATTCCCACATATGCCCCTGTGTCTTCTGAACACCTTTTAAAACCATGCTGTGTGAGGATTGCTTGAAGGAACTGGCAATGTTGAATTTGGAAAAGAGAAGGCTTGGGGTGGACATGATCTCTGTCTTCATGTTTCTGTAGGGCTGCCATGGGCAAAGGTGACTCACCTCTCAAAGTCCAAACTAGGAATAGTGGATGGAAGTGGTGGAAAGGCAGATTTTGGCTCAATATAGAGATAGTTCTAATAATCAGAGCCATCCAAAATTGGAAGGGCTTGTTTGAGAGGCAATGAGATCCCTTTTGCTTGAGAGCTTTGAATGTAAATTGGATGACCACTTGTCAGGAATGTCGTAGAGGGAATTCCTTCTCAGGTATGAGTTGGACTAGAGGACCTTTGGGGTCCCTTCTAGCTCTGAGATTCTGTGATTCTAGAGATACTAGAGTCATTAGAATGCTGGTGTGTGTGAGTATGTCTGTGTGTGAATATGTAAGGATCATCCCTCTTCCTCCTCCTCAATTCATCACCCTCAGGTAGTGTGGTGGCCCACCCTCCTGGGTCACCCTCAGCTCTCAGGCTGTAATTCCGTAGTCCTTGTAGATATGTCAGAGTGTGTGGGGGACAAGGAAACCCGTCTCTCTTCTGCTGGGGTCATTCTCTGTCCCATTCCCTACTCCCAAGCCCAATCACTGAAGTGTTGGGGAAAATTTCCTGATTGGGGATTGGAGGAGAGCATTGTACCTTGGTCCTCCTTGGTGGCTAGCTCAGATAAAGGGACACCAGGTATTCAGTGGGGATGGAAGAGGAATGAGAGTATGCAACACATAGCAGGTGGGTATTGGGGTAATCTTCACTCAGGCTCCCTCAGTGTACCAGAAGCCCTTAGTGAAGTCAGATCCCATGATTCCTGTTAGCACTACCTACTCTAACCATGGAGCTATCTGGCCATACTCCAAGAGAAGTCATTCATCGATGCTGAGTAACAATAAGAATAATCACAATGGGGGTGGGAGGAGCACTAAACCTTGAATTTTCAGTCCTAGCTATATGCTACTTAAC